GAGCAGCCAGGACTCAAACCAGTGCCCATATGGGATGCCAGCACTGCAAGCTATGGCTTTACCCAATACGGCACAGCGCTGGCCCCTAAACCCAGGCAGTCTTAGCTAGCGTCTTATTGTTAGACTAAACACCTAATTCTCACACTGATTTTGATTATGGCAGTCCAGGTACTAGATTGTAAGACTAAGGTATGGACTTAATTCACACTTCTACCAAGTGGAAAGTTAGGTATCTCTCTCCATGTGTGCTGCTTGGAGCTGGGGGATGAGTGACAGAGCCAGCTCTCTCCTTCCTGCTTTTTTCAATGTGTCTTTCCTATTGTACTAAAACCAGACTCATGTAGCCTCCATCATCCTTCTGAAGGCAACTTGGTTTATGAATAGTTGTTCACATTGTTGGTTTCTAGGGAAAGGATCACCCAAGTATGTTTACTCAGCTGCCATCCTGCCAGAAGCTCCCTCGCTTTCTTTTCTTTCTTTCTTTTTTTTAATATTTATTTATCTATTTGAGTGGTAGGGTTACAGAGAGAGGGAAATACAGAGAGATCTTCCATCCCCTGGTTCACTCCCTAAATGACCTCAACGTCTGGAGCTGGGCTGAACCGAAGCCAGGCCATCAACAGGGAGCTGGATCAAAAGTGGAGCAGCCGGGACTCATACTGTCACCCACATGGGATGCCAGCCAGCACTACTGAAAGAGGCCCAACCCACTATGCCACAGCAGCAGCCCCCACTTTTTTTTTTTTTATGACCTGTATTTGTTTATTAAGTTATTTTTTAAGACTCTTTAAAAATATTTTATTTGAAAGGCAGGAGGGAGGAGGAAGATCCACTGGGTTGCTCTCCAAATTCCTATAATAGCCAGGTCTGGCCAGGCCAAAGCCAGGAGCCTGGAACTCATCCAGGTTTCCTGTGTGGATATCAGGGACCCAACTCTTTGGGTCATTACCTGCTGCCTCCTGTGTACACATTAGAAGGAAGCCAGATTCAGGAGTGGAGCTAGGACTTGAGCCCCAGTGTGCTGCTATGGGATGCAGGTGACCCAAATGGCATTTAAACTACCGCACCAAGCACCCACCCCAGTAAACTTTAAGAACAATTTTAGGTTTACAGAAGAATTGAGCAGAAAGTACAGCAAGTTCCCATATCACCTCCCCTGTCACACAAACATATATTTTCTCGTTACTAACATCTTATATTGGTGCGTTATGTTTATTAAATTTGAGAATATTGATACAGCATTATTTTTATCAGGTTGCTTGCAGATAATTAATTAATTAGGAAGATAAAAGAACCATCTCCTGGCCGGCACCGCGGCTAACTAGGCTAATCCTCCGCCTTGCAGCGCCGGCACACCAGGTTCTAGTCCCAGTCGGGGCACCAGATTCTGTCCCAGTTGCCCCTCTTCCAGGCCAGCTCTCTGCTGTGGCCAGGGAGTGCAGTGGAGGATGGCCCAAGTGCTTGGGCCCTGCACCCCATGGGAGACCAGGAGAAGTACCTGGCTCCTGCCATCGGATCAGCGCAGTGCGCTGGCCGCAGCGCGCCGGCCGTGGCGGCCATTGGAGGGTGAACCAACGGCAAAGGAAGACCTTTCTGTCTGTCTCTCACTGTCCACTCTGCCTGTCAAAAAAAAAAATAAATAAAATAAATAATAATAATAATAAAGAAACTAAAAAAAAAAAAAGAACCATCTCCCATTCACTGGTTCACTCCCAACATGCCCACAACATCTGGGGTAGGCCAGGCGCCCGGAACCCAATCTGGGTCTCCAACATGGGTGACAGTGACTAAACTACTCAGCTATCATCTTCCAGAGAACAGAACCAGGACTCAAGTCCAGGCACTTTGACATGGGATGTGAACGTACCAAGCAGTGGCTGAACCGCTGCACCAAACTCCTGCCCCAACACATTATTATTAAACATATTTTGCATTTGGATTCACTCTGCATTGCACAGTTCTATAGAGTTTGATAAATGTTATTGTAAACGATGCTGTGTTTTTTAATTTTAAATGCCAACTCTTCATTGCTAGTATATAGTAAAGCCCTTGACTTTGTATATTAACCTTGTATTCTGCAGTCTTCATATAATTGCTTATTAGTCCCAGGAGTTTTTGTTGTTGTTGATTCTTTTGGATTTTCTGCATACAGAAGATCGGTGAACAAAGATAGTTTTATTTCTTCCTTCCTAATCTATATACCTTTTATTTCCTTTTCTTATCCTACCAAATTTAGCTAATACAACATTGATGTGATATGATGAGAGGGAACATCCTTGTTCTATTCATAATCTTTAAGGGGAAAACACCTAGTGTGAGGTTAGCTGTAGGTTTTTGTAGACAATTTTTTTCTCTTTAATATTTATTTACTTATTTGAAAGGCAGAGTTTTAGAGAAAGAGGGAGGAAGGGAGAGAGAGAGATACTTTCCGTATACTTGTTCACTCCCCAAATAATGGCTGGGGCTGTTCTGTCTCAAGCCAGGAGACCAGAACTCCATCCAGGTCTCCTACTGGAGTTACAGGGGCCCAAGTACTTGGCCATCTTCTGCAGCTTTCCCATGCATAAGAACAGGGATCTGGATCAGAAGCAGAGCAGCCAGGACTTGAATCAGCACTCCAGTATGGGATGCTGGTATCACAGGCAGCAGCCACAGTGCTGCCTCCTGTAGATATTCGTTATCAAGTTGAAAAGTTCCTGTTTCTAGTTAGCGGTTTCATCATGCATGGGTGTTGGGTATTGTCAATTGCTTTTTCCTCCATATGTTGATATGAATATTATCTTTTTCTTCTTTAGCTTTTTGATGGATTAATAGAGTTTCAAATGTTGAACTAGCCTTTCATCCCTAGAATAAGTTCTACTTGGTTATAGTCTATAATTGTTTTTACACATTGTTTTATTCAATTTGCTAATATTTTCTTGATGATTTTTCATCTGTGTTCGTGAGATATTTTCTGTCATTTTCCTTTCTTGTCCCCTCTTTGGTTTTAGCATGAGGGTAGTTCTGTCTTCGTAGGATGAGTTAGAATTGTTCTATTTTCTGGAAGAGATTGTACACAGTTGATATAATTTCTTCCTTAAATGCTTGGTAGGGTTCATCAATGGACTCATCTTCCTCTGGCACCTGCTATAGATTCTGTTTCTTCTAGTGTGAGTTTTGGTAGACTGTACCTTTCAAGGAATTTGTCCATTTCATCTAAGTTAATCAGATTTGTGGGCATAGAGCTGTTCATACTGCCTATCTTTTTTTTTTTTTTTTTTTTTTTTTTTGGCTACCAGGAGACTCTGAGACTCACCAGAGCCCCAGTTTCTGAACTATAGCATAGAAGTACCTCTTGTTATAGTTGTATTCTGTTGTAGCTATTTCTTGCTGTGATGATACATAGTATACAGATGACATGACTCTGTATTTATCTGAATCTCTATAAGCATAGGCCATTTCTTATTTTTATTTGTCCACAACCACTATAATATATACTCAATGAATGAGTGACTTGATTCACATGATGAAATTTAATAGAATTTTTATACCAAATAGATAACATGAAAGAATAAAACTTCAGCTACTCGGGGTGCTCAGAAGAAAAAGTAGCAGAGAGCACAGTGGATGCTATATTACTGTCTGATATTTGAGAGTGAGTATGCCAGTGTATGCACTGATATTTACCATATGACCACATACAAGTTTTGTGTGGATCATCATTTAATCTTCACAGCAGCCGTGTGAGATAAGTAGCAGTGTCTGCATTTTACAGATGATGAAACCAAACCATGCAGAAGTTAATTTGCTTACACAGTGTCAGTGTTGACTTGTGAAGGCACCTAAACTCAGATGCTAACGCCTGGACTTTTGGACAGTTTGCTGCACTGCTGCACAGCCGTACTGATGGAAAGGAGGGGGAATCCCTGATACCATAAGAAATCCTCTTGAGGGGGCTGGTGCTGTGGCATAACGGGTTAAGCCACTTCCAACCCCAGCATCCCATATGGGCACTGGTTCTAGTCCTGGCTGCTCCACTTCCAATCCAGCTTCCTGCTAATGGCTGGGGAAGACCAGGCCCATGCACTTGGAGACCCAAATGAAAATACTGGCTTCTGTCTGACCCAGCCGTGGCTGCTGCAGCCACTTGGGGAGTAAACTAGCAGATAGAGGATCTCTCTCTCTCTCTCTCTCTCCCCCTCTCTCTCCCCTCCCCCCTCCTCTCTTCCTCTCTCTCTCTCCCCCTCTCTTCCTCTCTCTGTGTAACTTTCTTTCTTTCTTTCTTTTTTTTTTTTTTTGACAGGCAGAGTGGACAGTGAGAGAGACAGACAGAAAGGTCTTCCTTTGCCGTTGGCTCACCCTCCAATGGCCGCCGCGGCCGGCGCACCACACTGATCCGAAGGCAAGAGCCAGGTACTTATCCTGGTCTCCCATGGGGTGCAGGGCCCAAGTACTTGGGCCATCCTCCACTGCACTCCATGGCCACAGCAGAGAGCTGGCCTGGAAGAGGGGCAACCGGGACAGAATCCAGCGCCCCGACTGAGACTAGAACCCGGTGTGCCAGCGCCGCTAGGTGGAGGATTAGCCTATTGAGCCGCGGCGCCGGCCTGTGTAACTGTGTTTCAAACGGCCTGTGTAACTGTGTTTCAAATGAATAAATCTTTTTAAAAAAAAAGAAAAGAAATATCTTGGCCATGAGTGTTTCTGTGTAAGATGTATCCTGTCAGTGCTTTGGAAAAGGCAGAATTAATACTTTGTGATATTATGGAGTATTCTGAGAACACATAGAGAGCATTTCCTAGGGAAGTAAAAAACGTATACTTGAGTTAAAATATTTTCCTATCAGTGTTCTAATAATAATACAATGAGGGCTTTTTGAGAGACATTCCAGTTCATACCTGTTAGAGTAACTGAGAAGAGAGCCTGAACTCCAGACAGGGAGGGAGCATTCCTTAACTAGAACATCACAGGTGGTCAGTAGTATTTCTTTTTCTTTTTATTTTTTTTGTTTATTTGTTTAGGGTTTGCGAATCAGGATCTGACAATCAATGTCATAATAACAATCGACAAACGAATTGTGAGTATTTTGTTGACAGCCTTTTTGAGGAAGCACAGAAGGTTGGTGCCAAGTGCTTATCCCCCACTGAACAAAAGAAACAGGTAAAGAGCAATTTTTTTCTCTTCCATTATTCCTCAAAATATCAATCTTTTAGAAGCTCACTGAATGCTGAGCTGTTTTTTTTAATAGTATGATCTTATTTATCCTTTTTACTGTGTAGATTTTGTGTGTTACAGAAACAGCTGTGGGTAAAAGTGCTGGTACCTCATCAGGAACCAAGGCAGTGACTACAGATCGTACTAATAATTGTATTTCTTGTTTGCATTCCAAATATTAGTTTCAATTTGAAATGTCCTTAATGAAGCAGTGAAACTTGCACATTTCAGTATTCTGTGTGACAAAATGTTAACTGTACATAAAAGGCATTTCTCTCTTTTTTTTTTTTTTTTTAATTTTTTTGACAGGCAGAGTGGACAGTGAGAGAGACAGACAGAAAGGTCTTCCTTTGCCGTTGGTTCACCCTCCAATGGCCACCACAGCTGGCGCGCTGCAGCTGGCGCACTGCACTGATCCGATGGCAGGAACCAGGTACTTCTCCTGGTCTCCCATGGGGTGCAGGGCCCAAGCACTTGGGCCATCCTCCACTGCACTCCCTGGCCACAGCAGAGGGCTGGCCTGGAAGAGGGGCAACCGGGACAGAATCCGGCACCCCGACCGGGACTAGAACCCGGTGTGCCGGAGGATTAGCCTAGTGAGCCACAGCGCTGGCCAAGGCATTTCTATAATTTACAGAAATGTCTTGAAAAGTTCAGTTATTTAAGATAGTGAATGAACTGTCTGCTTTTTCATGGCATATGGTTTTTGCACAAAATAATGATTTACACATAGATTTTGGTTTTGCAGACCTAGATATTTGGCAGGCATTTTCTTACAATGAATGGAGTGAGCTTGGCACAACTTCTAATATTTGTTGCAAATGATTAGATTTTATTTAACCAACTTTCAGTAAAAATGTGAATTTAGGAAAATTGCCACTATACACTTGACACCTTCCATAACTTAAAAGAACTTCCTGATGAAATCAGTGTCTTTTTAATGAATATAATTTTCAACTGTATAATGAAATATGTCAACATTTGTAAGATTCACTCAGAGAACCAGTATTTTCCAGATGACCAATAAATGATGTTATAAAATGATATATGAATAAAAGAGCCAAACTGTCATATACTAAATGATTTTAATGGAGCAAGTTTATAAAAATATCGCTGATTGGTTTTAGATTCCACATGCAGATGGCTACTCAATTTTTCAGATACTGCCACTTATAAATGTCAAAGAAGAACATACTGAAAAGGCTACTAACATACTTTTATCAAAATAACATATCACAGCAGACTAAGAGCAGTAGTAATTTTCAGAATCTGACTTTTTTGAAGTCAGACATCAAAAGGATTTAAGAAAAACCATTTCAAAACCTGTTGAAGTGAAATGGACACTATGAGAAAGAGTGACTTGATCAGCCCTTGTCCTGACTGTCGATGAACAACTTAATACTTTATCCCTTTTAAGTAATTTTTTTGTTCTACTTAATACTATTGGTTGAACTCTTTAATTAACACACAGTTATTCTTGGGTGTTTAAATTTAACTGAAAAGTGATCCCTGTTAAATATAAGAATGGGAATAAGAGAGAGAGGAGATGTATAGTTTGGGAATGCTCAATCAGACTTGCCGCAAACGGTAGAGTTAGAAACGTGCCAGGGGATTTCAATTCAATCCCATCAAGGTGGCATGTTCCAATGCCATCTCACTAGTCCAAGTGATCAGTTTCAGTTCACAGTTGATCATAATGAAAGGATTAAGAGTCAAAGGGGCTGGCACCGTGGCTCACTAGGCTAATCCTCCATATTGCGGTGCCGGCACACTGGGTCTAGTACCAGTCGGGGCACGGATTCTGTCCTGGTTGCCCCTCTTCCAGGCCAGCTCTCTGCTGTGGCCAGGGAGTGCAGTGGAGGATGGCCCAAGTACTTGGGCCCTGCACCCCATGGGAGACCAGGAGAAACACCTGGCTCCTGCCATCAGATCAGCACGGTGCGCTGGCCGCAGCGCGCTGGCCGCGGCGGCCATTGGAGGGTGAACCAATGGCAAAGGAAGACCTTTCTGTCTGTCTGTCTCTCTCTCACTGTCCACTCTGCCTGTCAAAAACATAAAAAAAAAAAAAAAAGAGTTAAAGGGATCACATAAACAATACTGGTGTCTGCTAATACTAACTGATAGAATTAAAAAGGAGAGAACGATCCAACATGGGAAGGGGGATATAAGGCAGACTCATAGAATGGCAGATGTCCTAAACAGCACTCTGGCCTCAGAATCAGCCCTTAAGGCATTTGGATCTGGCTGAAGAGCCCATGAGAGTATTTTAGGCATGGAAAGCCACGACACTCTGGTAAAATAAATAAATAAATAAATAAAAATAAATGAAAGATCTCAGTGAGATCCCAGTGGAAAGAACAGGCCATCAAAGAATGAGGTACCGTTCTCTGAAGGGAGGAGAGAACTTCCACTTTGACTATGACCTTGTCTAAATAAGATCGGAGTTGGCAAACTCAAAAGGCTTCCATAGCCTTGGCAACTCATGACAAGAGCCTCAGGTGATTACTGACGCCATAAACAAGAGTATCAGTTGTTAGTCAACAACAGGAGTCACTGTGCACTTACTCCCCATGTAGGATCTCTGTCCTTAATGTGTTGTACAATGTGAATTAATGCTATAACTAGTACCCAAGCAGTACTTTACACTTTGTGTGTCTGTGTGGGTGCAAACTGTTGAAATCTTTATTAATAGATACTAAATTGATCTTCTGTATATAAAGATAATTGAAAATGAACCTTGGTGTGAATGGAATGGGAGAGGGAGCGGGAGATGGGAGGGTTGCAGGTGGGAGGGAAGTTATTGGGGTGGGGGGAGCCACTGTAATGCAAAAGCTGTACTTTGGAAATTTATATTTATTAAATAAAAGTTTTAAAAAAATAAAAACTTTTTCATTCTGATTTACATATAAGATTAGTTTAAAATTTCATCAAAGTTTAAGTTATAAAATTTAATGTATGGCGGGCTCATGTTGAAAAATAACTGCCCTGTTACTCCTTGGTCCTGATGCCTGTTTCCAAGAGGCAACCACTTGTGACTTAGCTCATTCTTTCAGGGTGAGCTTTGTGCTTTTGATAGTATACTAACAGTAATATTTCTTGATTTTATTTTAGATTCTGAAATTATGTATTGACTTTTTATTATAGAAAGTGAAGATTTAGCACTTTTTAATTTCTTTTTTATATATTTTTATTTAATAAATCTTATAATAAAAAAAAAGGAGAGGGCCCGACACTGTGGCATAGCCAGTAAAGGAGCTGACTGCAGTGCTGGCATCACAAATGGGGGCTGGTTCAAGTCTTCACTGCTCCACTTCCAATCTAGCTCCCTGCTATGGCCTGGGAAAGCAGTGGAAGGTGGCTGAAATTCTTGGGCCCCTGTACCCACGTGGGATACCCAGAAGAAGCTCCTGGCTCCTGGGTTTGGCCTAGCTCAGCTCTGGCCTTTTGGGGAATGAATCAATGGATGGAAGATCTCTCTCCCTCTCTGTCTCTCCTCTTTCTGTAACTCTGCCTTTCAAATAAAATGGATAAATCTTTTTTTAAAAAAAAGATTTTTATTTCTTTGAAAAGTGGATACAGAGAGGAGAGACACATACACACGGATCTTTCATTTGTTGGTTCACTTCCCAAATGGCTGCAATGGCTGGGACTGGGTCAGGCCAAAGCCAGGAGCCAGGAGCTTCTTCCAGGTCTTCCACATGGGTGCAGGGGCCCAAGTACTTGGATCATCTTCCACTGCTTTCCCAGGCCATAGTGAAGAGCTGGATCAGAAGAGAAGCAGACATGAACAGGTGCCCATATGGGATGCCGGGGCCACAGGCAGGGGCTTGACCTACTACACCACAGCACTGGCCCCAGCTATACTTTATTCTTAATGTTCAAAGTCATTTCAAATGAAGTTCTTCTAACTGTTGAGATGTCTGTTCAAGCAGAAGTCTTTCCTGCACAGTTGTCCTGAAAGATGGACAGAGCACAGAACAAATGAGTACTTTTCCAAGTGAGTTCCCTTGGAAAAAAAATTAATGGTTTATTTAAAAATATTACCTGTCATGAGTCATTTGATTTTTTAAAAGATTTATTTATTTGAAAGAGTTACAGAGAGAGAAAGATCTTCCGTCTGCTGGTTCACTCCACAGATGGCCACAACAGCTAGGGCTGGGCCAGGCCAAAGACAGGAGCTTCATCTGAGACTCCCATGTGTGTGACAGGGGCCCAAACACTCTGGCCGTCTTCCACTTCCTTTCCCAGGCCGTTAGTAGGGAGCTGAATCGAAAGTGGAGCAGCAGGGACACCACCTGGCACCTCTATGGGATTTCAGCATTGCAGGCAGCAGCTTTACCCGCTACACCACAGTGCTGGCCCCACCGTTTGATTTTTATACATTATTTTGTGTATTTTATGTTGAAGTGTTCTCTTAAGATGAATACATACAGCAATAGAAATTCTCATGACTTTTAACCTGACATTTTATTAATATACACTTTTTTACTGTTTTGCAGGTAGATGTAAGTATAAAGTTATGGAAAAACGGATTCACAGTCAATGATGATTTCAGAAGTTATTCTGATGGTGCAAGTCAGCAGTTTCTGAACTCCATCAAAAAAGGGTAAACATTCTTTGTAAACGGGTTATTTTCAGCATGTTTCATGTGGAAGAATCCTTTTTGGTGTCCTTTACTTGCTCCTAGTGTGTTGAATATTATATATTATATTATATTATATATATTATATATATTATATATGCCAATATTATATAATCCACCCTGCTGCCCTACTCACACTGAACAGGAATCCTGAGACTGAAAAGTTAAGCAGGAAGGTCCATGTAAGAATAAAGGAATTTGCCGGCGCCGCGGCTCACTAGGCTAATCCTCCACCTTGCGGCACCGGCACACCGGGTTCTAGTCCCGGTCGGGGCGCCGGATTCTGTCCCGGTTGCCCCTCTTCCAGGCCAGCTCTCTGCTGTGGCTAGGGAGTGCAGTGGAGGATGGCCCAAGTGCTTGGGCCCTGCACCCCATGGGAGACCAGGAGAAGTACCTGGCTCCTGCCATCGTATCAGTGCGGTGCGCCGGCCGCGGCAGCCATTGGAGGGTGAACCAATGGCAAAGGAAGACCTTTCTCTCTGTCTGTCTCTCTCTCTCTCTCACTGTCCCCTCTGCCTGTCAAAAAAAAAAAAAAAAAAAAAAGAATAAAGGAATTTATTTGGGCAACTCACATACAGGATTCCAGAACAGGGTAACAAGTGGTCTGGGCCCAGCTGTAGCAAGGCTTATTCTGCACAGAACAGTAGAAAAAGCAAGGTTTTAGAATAGAAATCATAAGTAAGCTGGAGGTTGGAGCTTGTGTTAACAATAGTAGTCTTGGGGGCTGGTGATATGGCATAGCAGATAAAGCTGCCGTTTCAACACCAATGTTCTATATGGGTGCCAGTTTGAGTCCCAGCTGCTCCACTTCCAATCCAGCTTTCTACTAATGGACTGAGAAAGCAGTGGAAGATGATCCAAGTACTTGGCTCCTGCACCCATTTGGGAGACCCAGAAAAAGCTCTGAACGCTAGGCTTTGGACCTGCCCAGCTCTGACTGTAACAACAGAAAGCCCTGGGGCTAGCAGGGTGGAGTAGTGAGTAAAACCACCTCCTGTGGTGCTGGTGTCCCATATGAGCTCTGGTTCCAGTCCTGGCTGTTGCACTTCTGATCCAGCTCCCTGCTAATGTGCCTAGGAAGGTAGTGGAAGATGGCCCGGGTACCTGGGCTCCTGCACGTACATGGAAGACCCAGGTGAAGTTTCTGGTTTCTGCCTGGCCCAGTCCTGGCTGTTATGGGCATTTGGGGAATGAAGCAGCAGATGAAAGTTCTCTCGCTCTCGCTCTCGCTCTCGCTCGCTCTCTCTCTCTTCTGGAGCCCTGTAAGCTCTGCCCTCCTGGAGCTTTTGTTGTTCACAAGAGGCTGTCTGTGGGATACTAGACACAGCATCAAACTGTGGCCAGATCCTACCTGTATTACTTAAATCTCTCTGTTAGCAGAATCAAATGTGAAAACATTTTTAAAAATTGTAATACATTTACTATTTCACCTTTGTCGTTTGCACAGTAAATATGTATTTCACTGAAAAACTAAAATGAGAGCTCTGTTTTTCTAGCACAGTTCTAGTCCTATTTGACCACCTATAAAAAATAACCAAAATGCTGTATTTAGCTGTGAATAGTCATCATAGTTTTTGACTTTTATACTATTTTAGGTACTGCTATAAAACTCATGCTGGTTATGGATTTATGGTCGTAAAAATTATTTTCTTGGGTTTTAGTATTGTTTTAAATATATTTAGTTAATTATAGGGAATATAATGTACCTTTTATTTCTATATATTCTTCAGGTTATTTTTTTAATATATAGAATGTTTTTCAGAGAAAACTGTAGGAACTTTATCATCTTGTTTCCTTTTCTTCCAAGGGAATTGCCTTCAGAATTACAGGGAGTTTTTGATAAAGAGGAGGTGGATGTGAAAGTTGAAGATAAGAAAAATGAAGTGTGCCTGTCAACAAAGCCTGTGTTCCAGCCATTTTCAGGACAGGGCCACCGACTGGGAAGGTGAGGACGCTTATCATAGGTGGTTTCCGTAAGCAGAGGTGACTAATACTTGTTCCAGCATTCTTTTACCCATGTAGATGACATGTATTACAAAGCTTATTATTTCTCCCACTGGAAATTAGATTTTTTTAAAGATTTATTTGTTTGAAAGAGTTACAGAGAGAGGTAGAGACAGACAGAGAGAGGTCTTCCATCTGCTGGTTCACTCCCCAAATGACCACAACAGCCAGAGCTGGGCCTATCCAGAACCAGGGCCTTCTCCCGTGTCTCCCACATGAGTGCAGGAGCCCAATGACTTGGACCATTCTCTGTTGCTTTCCTAGGCCACGGAGGTGGATCAGAAGTGGAGCAGCTGGGACTCGAGCCAGTACTGCAGGCCGAGGCTTTAACCCACTATACCACAGCACCAGCCCCCAGGAAATGGGATTTTTAATGTTAGTTTTTTATGACTCCTAAGTCATCTTTACCTTAACATATGCCAGTACCACACTGAATAATGATTAGGGCTTATTTGAGTTTTATTTTCAAAAGGATCTGGCTTATTGAGGACAAAGTTGGATAATGAATCATTTACTCTTCTTTGTGCCTACCAGTTGAACTTTGCCAGTAATTCTACAGAGAACATATACTAGTTGTTGAATATCTAAGATTGCCTGCAACATTTTATTCGAGATCAGTATCTGAATTTTGAGATTGAAAAAGCAACAGATTAAACAACCACCTGGAACGCCATCCCAGCTGCTCTAACTTTGAACTAGTTCCCCTGTAAATGTACCTAGGAAAGCAGTGGAAGATGGTCCAGGTACTTGGACCCCTGCCACTTTCAAGAGAGACCTGGATGAAGTTTCTGGCTCCTGGCCCAGACTGGCCATTGCGGCCATTTGGGGAGTGAACCAGCAGATGGAAGATCTCCTTCTCTCTGTCTCTGCCTACCTCTCTCTCTCACTCTGCCTTTCCTTTTTTTTCTTCGAGATTTTATTTTTTTTATTTGAGAGGTAGATTACAGAGAGAAAGGTCCTGTACCTGCTGGTTCACTCTGCAGAGGGCTACAACAGCCAGAGCCAAGCGTATCCAAAGCAAGGAGCCAGGAGCCTCCTCCAGGTCCCCCATGCAGGTGCAGGTGCCTGAGTACCCGGGCCATCCTCTACTGCCCTCCCAGGCCACAGCAGAGAGCTGAATTGGAAGAGGAGGGGCCGGTGCCATGGCTCACTAGGCTAATCCTCCGCCTTGCAGCGCCAGCACACCGGGTTCTAGTCCCAGTCGGGGCGCCGGATTCTGTCCTGGTTGCTCCTCTTCCAGGTGAACTCTTGCTGTGGCCAGGGAGTGCAGTGGAGGATGGCCCAAGTGCTTGGGCCCTGCACCCCATGGGAGACCAGGATAAGTACCTGGCTCCTGCCATCGGATCAGCGTGGTGCGCCAGCCGCAGCACGCCAGCTGCGGTGGCCATTGGAGGGTGAACCAACGGCAAAGGAAGACCTTTCTGTCTGTCTCTCTCACTGTCCACTCTGCCTGTCAAAAAAAAAAAAAAAAAAAGGAAGAGGAGGAGGCAGGGTATGAACCAGCACCCAAACAGGACTCCGGCAACACAGGCAGAAGCCCAGCCCACCACAGCACTGGCCCCCACTGTGCCTTTCAAGTACATGTGTACATATTTCTTTTCTTAAATTAAAATATACCTGATAAAGTTAGTGTCAGTATCGAAAAAATTATGCCCTGTGACACACTATGCAAAGAAATCAGTATGGGGTCATTTTGATTTTCTTAAATTTCATTTTAATTATAAAGATTGGTAAGGTCGATATTCGTGCACACAGACAATTCTGCACGTGTCTGAGAATAATTTGGAAACACTTCTTTTTTTCTTTATAACTCAAGGATTAATTTCTGTTGAGAATTTGTAGTTCCTTTTAGAAATGTATGCTGGGCCATACTTAAAGGTAAAAGTTTATATATATATCAGCCGTATAAAATGTTCCATAAAGTACGGTTTACATAATACTGGTAACAATATATCCACCTGGCTTTCTATAAGCTGACAAGTTGGTTGTATATGCATAATTCCATTCAATTCTTAGAACCATCATGTATTACAGACATAACGAATATGAAATCTTTAATTATGACTGAGGAGATAGCTGTAACTTTAAAAATCTTCATAAATGCTTTACTTGATATAAACTTTATATAATAATTAATGATAAAGCTCTGCTCAATGGGAAAACATGTCTCACTTTGCTGTCTGGATTATTTTTTTAGTGCCACACCAAAAATTGTTTCTAAAACAAAGATTCTTGAAGTTGAAAATAAAAGTAATTTGTCTACTGTTCCACTGAACAACTTGGAACCCATCACTAATGTACGGATTTGGTTAGCCAATGGGAAAAGGATTGTCCAGAAATTTAACATTTCTCATAGGTGAGTCTTCTGTTTTCTTGTGTGTTTGTTGTCTTTTTTTTTTCCTAAGTTTAAATGTCATTTCTTTTCAGTCAACAGTGTTTTGTTTTGTTTTGTTTTGTTTTGTTTTAAAGATTTATTTATGGCCAGCGCTGTGGCTCACTAGGCTAATCCTCCGGCACACCGGGTTCTAGTCCCGGTCGGGGCGCCGGATTCTGTCCTGGTTGCCCCTCTTCCAGGCCAGCTCTCTGCTGTGGCCAGGGAGTGCAGTGGAGGATGGCCCAAGTGCTTGGGCCCTGCACCTCATGGGAGACCAGGAGAAGTACCTGGCTCCTGCCATCGTATCAGCGCGGTGCGCCAGCTGCAGCGTGCTGGCCATGGCGGCATTGGAGGGTGAACCAAGGGCAAAGGAAGACCTTTCTCTCTCTCTCTCGCTGTCCACTCTGCCTGTCAAAAAAAAAAAAAAATTTATTTATTTAAAATGCAGAATTAGAGTGATCCTCTATCTGCTGGTTCATTCCCCAAGTGGCCTCAGTGGCTGGGGCTGGGCCAGGCTGAAGTCAGGAGCCAGGAACTCTATCCACATCTCCCATGTGGGTGGCAGGGGCACAAGCATGTAGGCTTTGTGGTGCTGCTTATCTAGGCCCATGAGCAGGGAGCTGGATCAAAAATGGAACAAATGGGATTCGATCTGACATGGGATACCAGTGTTGCAGACAGTGGCTTAACCCACTGTGCCACTGTGCCACAACTCTGACCCACAACAGTGGTTTTTAACAGTTAACCAAGGATTTTATTAATAAATAGTTCTCAGGGCCAGTGTTTATTTTGGGTTTTGATAATCCATCAAACTACAATTTGAAAAATGCCCTCCATGAAAAAAGTGAAAATATGGTGTTCGTTTTGTGTTTCCACTCTTTTAAGGCTCTTTTAGCAACTTCTGTAGGAGGGCTACTTCATCAGTGATCACAACTGAGCAACTGAGACTCCTCTTACAATATCTTTTTTTTTTGGACAGGCAGAGTGGACAGTGAGAGAGAGAGACAGAGAGAAAGGTCTTCCTTTGCCGTTGGTTCACCCTCCAATGGCTGCCGCAGCCAGCGCGCTATGGCCAGCGCACCATGCTGATCTGAAGCCAGGAGCCAGGTGCTTCTCCTGGTCTCCCATGGGGTGCAGGGCCCAAGCACTTGGGCCACCCTCCACTGCACTCCCTGGCCACAGCAGAGAGCTGGCCTGGAAGAGGGGCAACCGGGACAGAATCTGGTGCCCCGACCGGGACTAGAACCCAGTGTGCCAGCGCTGCAGGCAGAGGATTAGCCTATTGAGCCATGGCGCTGGCCACAATATCTTTTTAAACTCTGAGTCCTTAGTTGCCCTTTACGTTCCTTTGGTTTGTCTGGTTTTATTGTTATCTTCAAAGACCAGCTTTCCACTTAGTTGATTCACTATCATTTTTATTTCTACTCTTGTCATTGTAACATTCTTCTTCCTACTTATTTTCTTCTCTTTAAAAATTCAGTATTCAGGCTGTGGTAAAAATAACTTTTTATATAGATGGGCCTGCGTTTCCTTATCATCTTTTGGAAGTTAAATTACTGGACCAAAGAATGTGAACATATTTAAAAGCCTTGGAGTCAGCACTGTGGCACTGCAGCCAACATCTCATATGGGCACCAGTTCAAGTCCCAGCTGCTCCAGTTGAGATCTACTTCCTGTTAATGTGCTTGGGAACGCAGTGGAAGATAGCTGAAGTGCTTGGTCTGCTGTACACACATGGGAGACCCAGAAGAGGCTCCTAGCTTCGAATTGACCCAACTCCGACCATTGTGGCCATTTGTAAACCAGTGGTTGGAAGATTTCTCTCTCTCTCTCTCTCCCTCTCTCTCTCTGTCTCTCTCTCTCTCTCTCTGAAACTCTGCCTTTCAGATACATAAATAAATCTTTAAAAGCCTTTACTCAGGGTAGTCATTAAGCCTAGCACTGAAGACACCACTTGAGGTACCCATATCCCACTTTGGAGTGCCAGAGTTCATCTCCCAGCTCCAGCCTCCCACTTCCTACAGACCATAGGAGGCAGCAGTGCTGGCTTCAGTAACTGGGTTCCTGCCACCACATAAGAGACCTGGATTGCATTCTGAGCTCTGAGCTTTGTCCTCATTGTGGGCATTTAGAAAAACCAACAACTGGGTGCTCTGTCCTTCAAATAACTTTTTTTTTTTTAATTCTAAAAACCTTTACATGTTGTATTAAGTTTGATTTTATCTGTTTCCTCAGTACTTGATTCATTTTGGTCATATTTTCTAATTTAATACATAAATATAGAATGGCTTTTTACAATTTTTTCCTGTTTGTATCATTTCCATTTTGTTGTTGTTTGTTGTCGCTCCCCCTCTTCGTGGAGGAACGACACTAAACCCTGCCTAGGCTTCATATCCGAGTCACGGCACCATTATGTCGCTCCCCCTCTTCGTGGAGGAACGACACTAAGCCCTGCCTAGGCTTCATATCCGAGTCACGGCACCATTATGTCGCTCCCCCTCTTCGTGGAGGAACGACACAAGACCCTGCGCTGTTCTTTCGTCTGCTCGGCCCTCCCCGGGTTTGCTGCTGGTTCTTCCCGGGTTGGCTACTATCCCTTCCACCTCCGTGGAAGGGCAGTTCCCCCTGGCCACATTCCCCACTTCCGCAGGGGAGCAGCACACCGCCGGCCGGCTTTCTCGGGGGCTGCACAGGTGTTCCCCTTAGATGTTCCCCTTAGATGTTCCTGGTGCATGCCGTCTCTCTCCTCCTTTATAGTCCTCCTCTGCCAATCCCAACTCGGCTGCCCACACGCCGAGTACGCTGCTCTCCTCCAATCAGGAGCAAGTCCTACAGTTTATTGGTTGAACTGGAGGCAGCTGTGCAGAAGCTGTTTACTTCTCTCCCAGCGCCATATTGTGGGAGAGCAGATGCATAGATTAAGTCTTAATTCCAGTAACTCAGTCTAGTCCGGATTGCTCCCCACAGTTTGTTATCATCATGGCTACGTGAGCTTTTAGGTTTAATTTTCTTTTTTTTAAAGATTTATTTTATTTATTTGAAAGAGTTACAGAGAGAGGTAGAGACAGAAAGAGAGAGGTCTTCCATTCGCTGGTTGACTCCCTAGATGGCTGCAACGGCTGGAGCTGCGCCGATCTGAAGCCAGGAGCTTCTTCCGGGTCTCCCACATGGGTGCAGAGGCCCAAGGACTTGAGCCATCTTCCACTGCTTTCTCAGGCCACAGCAGAGAGCTGGTTCAGAAGAGGAGCAGCCGGCACTAGAATTGGCGCCCATATGGGATGCTGGCACTTCAGGCCAGGGTGTTAACCCACAGTGCTGGCCCCTAGGTTTAATTTTCATTCATCCAAAATTTATTTTATAGTAGTAGGCACTTTTCTAGGCACTAGGCATATTGCTGTGACCAAAAATAAAAATGCTTGCTTTTGTGTAATTTTGTTAGGAAATACAGAAAATAAACAGAATCAGTAAGTAATATAGTATTTTGGAAGATACGTGCTACTGAAAAATATAAACTAGAGACAGTAATAGTTAGTATGAGATTCCAGCTAGGGTGTAGAGGGCAGATGAATTCTTAATGATTATTTGTTTAAAATCATTTTAATCATTTTTTTAATATTAATTTGAAAGAGAGAAAGGGAGAGACAGAGAGAGAGAAATCTTCCATCTACTGGTTCACTCCCCAAATGGCTGCAAAGGCTGGGACTGGGCCAGGCTAAAGCCAGGAGCCTGAACCTCCATCCAGGTCTCCCATGTGGGTGCAGAAGCCCAAGGACTTGGGCCATCTTCCACTGCTTTTCCAGGTACATTATCAGGAACCTAGATCAGAAGTGGAGCAATAGGAGTTAAATTGGTACCCATGTGGTATTATGGCATTGTAGAAAAAGGCTTAACCCGCTGTACCACAACACTGGCCCCCTTAATGACTTTTAATGTATCTTGAAGACGACATCTTTAAAACTGCATTTTTTAGTAACCATGTTAAACCAATTACTTTGCCTAAACTTTGTAATGATCATTGCTTATAGTCAGCTCCTTCATTCACCTACTTAACAAATATTAAAGTTCTTATTTTTTAGTCAACTGGAAAATATTTCAGAGTGAACTTGTATACAGGGGAACACAAATGTTTACTTCGCCCGTGTACAGCTTGGATATAAGAATGTTTGATTTCTGATTTTTGCTGATGCTTCTTTAGATGTTTCTTCAATTTATTTTTATGATTTATTTGTTTATTTTATTTGAAAGGTAGAGTAATAGAGGGGGAGAGAGAATGAGGTCTTCCATCTACTGGTTTGCCCCCCGAAAGACTACAATAGCGGGGGCTGAGCCAGGCTGAAACCAGGAGGCAGGAGCTCCATCCACGTCTCCCATACGGGTGGCAGGGACTGCTTCCCAGGTGCATTAGCAGGGAGCTGGATTAGAAATGGAGCAGCCAGCACTAAAGCCATACTCCAACATAGGGTACAGGTGCCCCAAGTGATGGTTCAACCCATTGCCTCTTTTCATTTTCTTATGATGTTGAGAGTTATAGAATATTCTTAGAATTAGCTTATTTTGTTGGTTTTTGTTTGTCATCTCATATATGAAACTTGGGAAGGAGGTCTTGGTGTTTGAAGGAGTTTCCTTCATTTTTAAAGATTTATTTATTTATTTGAAAGTTAGAATTACTTAGAGATCTTTCATCTGCTGGCTCATTCCCCAAATGGCCACAATGGCCAGGACTGGGCCAGGTCAAAGCTGGGTGCTTCATCCTGGTCTCCCTCATGAGTGCAGGGGCCCAAGCACTTGGGCCATCTTTTGCTGCCTTCCCAGACACATTAGCAGGGGGCTGGATCGGAAGTGGAGCAGCTGGGACACAAACTGGCATCCATATAGGATGCAGGCACTGCAGACAGTGGCTTAGCTGGCTGCACCACAGCACCCATCCCAGAATTTCCTTTATTCTTGAAATGCAGATGTGCTGAGCCTGTTACCTTCCTGTCTCCGTGGGCATAGTTTGTTCACTCCCCCATTCTTCATCCCTCATCCGTAATAGCTTCATTCATCCAACCTTCCCAGCTATTCTCTCTGTTCAGACTATTTTCAAATGCTTCCACCTCCAGGAATCTTTCCTTCATTCCTTTCATCTTTGTTTTCTTGCTTTTTGTATTTATATCCATTAACTTAAGCTTTGACTTTCAATTATCCAGTTTCTGTTACAAATGTACAGGACCAAGTCATAGACTTTTCTGGGTAACTTTTCAGGTTTAATAGTGGTATATGGCCAGCGCCGCAGCTCACTAGGCTAATCCTCTGCCTTGCGGCGCCTGCACACCAGGTTCTAGTCCCGGTCAGGGCACCGGATTCTGTCCCGGTTGCCCCTCTTCCAGGCCAGCTCTCTGCTGTGGCCTGGGAGTGCAGTGGAGGATGGCCCAAGTGCTTGGGCCCTGCACCCACATGGGAGACCAGGAGAAGTACCTGACTCCTGCCATCAGATCAGCACGGTGCGCCGGCCACAGTGCGCCGGCCGTGGCGGCCATTGGAGGGTGAACCAACCGCAAAAGGAAGACCTTTCTCTCTGTCTCTCTCTCTCTCTCACTGACCACTCTGCCTGTCAAAAAAAAAAAAAAAAAATAGTGGTATATGGTGAACTGACTGACTGACTGAATGGAAGAATACTGTCTTAAGTGATAAACCATATTTCATTATTTTTAGTTGCACTTTTTTACATTTTAGCATTTCTGAATTGGGGTGCATTCTGTAATCCATTGTTTTCCATGTGGCAATCATGAGACAGTTGCCTTTGCCTTAGTCTCTGGCTCCAAACATACATAATGTGTGTCAGCTGAAGGAAAGACCACCCCTGAGACAGAAGTGGAATAAGTGAAATTCTTTCCAACATACGGAGCATGGGTATTATATGGAAAAACATGTGCATTGGTGACTGAACCAAGATGGTTTAGAGGATCTGAGTCTGAGTAGCATTTCTGTTAGGAAGAGTCACCTTATTTTATCCTACTTATATTCTCCATTTTCTGAAATCACATGCATGATTTGATAAATGTTTATGTGAAAATAATCCTAAAAGTACTCTTTCAATAAATATAAAAATTCTAAATTTTAGAAAAATATTTTGCCACATCTTGGAATTTAAAAAAAATTTAGGGGGCCAGCATTGTGGCACAGGAAGTTTAGCTATTGTCTGTGATGCTGGCATCCCAACGAGCGACTGTACCAGTCCCTGCTGCTCTGCTTCCTGTCCAGCTCCCTGCTCATGCTTGTTGGAAAGGCAGTGGAAGACAGCCCAGGTGCTTGGGCCCTTCCAGCCACTTGGGAGACCATCTGGGGAGTGAACCAGCGGCTGGAGGATCTTTCTCCCTCTCTTTCCTTCTCTCTCTCTCTCTCCTTCTCTCTCTCTCTCTAGCTCTGCCTTTCAAATAAATAAAAGAAATCTTTAAAAGAGAAAGAGAGACAACCTATATCTGTATGGGAACATGCTTTGAACATTTCCTTCCTTTCCCTCCCTCCCTCTCCCCCTCTCCCCCTCTCCCCCCTCCCCCTCTCCCCCTCCCCCTCTCCCCCTCTCCCCCTCTCCCCCTCCCCCCTTCCCCCTCCCTCTCCCTCTCCCTCCCTCCCTCTCTCTCTCTTCTTTTAAATCTCCCATGTGGTGGCTGGGACCCAAGTATTTGGGCCATCTTTGCAGCTTTTTCCACGCCATTAGCAGGGAGCTGGATCAATAGTGGAACAGCCAGGACTTCAACCTGCGCCCATATGGGATGCCAGCATTACAGGTGGCAGCTTTACCCACTACACCACAACGCCATTCCCCGATCATGCTTTGGATCATTTCTTTTTCTTTTTTTCTTTTTCTTTTTCTTTTTCTTTTTCTTTTTCTTTTTCTTTTTCTCTTTTCTTTTTCTCTTTTCTTTTCTTTTCTTTTCCTTTCTTTCTTTCTTTCTTTCTTTCTTTCTTTCTTTCTTTCTTTCTTTTTATTTATTTATTTGTTTATTTATTTATTTATTTTGATAGGCAGAGTGGACAGAGAGAGAGACAGAGAGAAAGGTCTTCCTGGAGCCAAGTGCTTCTCCTGGTCTCCCTTGCGGGTGCAGGGTCCAAGGACTTTGACCATCCTCCACTGCCTTCCCGGGCCACAACAGAGAGCTGGACTGGAAGAGGAGCAACTGGGACAGAATCCTGCGCCCCGACCAGGATTAGAACCCAGGGTGCCAGCGCTGCAGGCGGAGGATTAGCCTATTGAGCCGCGGCGCTGGCCTTTCTTTTCTTTTTTTAAGATTTTTTTTTTTTTGAGAGGTAGAGTTACAGTGAGAGGGAGAGACACAGAGGAAGGAGTCATCCATGGGTTGACTCCCCAAATGGCTGCAATGGCTAAAGCTGAGCCAATCCGAAATCATGAGCAAGGAGCTTCTTCTGGATTTCCCACACGGGTGCAGAAACTTGGGCCATCTTCCACTGCTTTCCCAGGGCATAGCAGAGAGCTGGATCAGAATAGTAGCAGCCAGGATTAGGAACGGCACCCATATAGGATGCCAGCACCACACTGCGCCACAGTGCCGGCCCAGATTGGACCATTTCTGTTCCAAACAGAGGTAGCTATGTAGATACAGAAACTTTCTGCTATAGAAGATCTCAGATATATGCAGTGGTACTTAAAAATGTTTGTAGAAAATAGAATTAAGAAATAAACTTATTTAGGTGCAAAGAGTAAAAATCCATGCATATTTTTTTCAAAATAGCATTTTTCATGAACTTCTTGCAGATCTCTTATGTGCATGGACTTTGATATTTGTATTCCGTTTTTCACACTTTTGGAAGTCCCTTCATATGAAAGCAAAGAGAATGTGTCATGATTGGTCATCACTCAGTTCCTGCTGAGCCATCTTTAAGCAGACCCAGGCTTCATAATAGTTTTTTTTTTTTTTTAATTTATTTATTTTTATTTTTTGACAGGCAGAGTGGACAGTGAGAGAGAGAGAGAAAGGTCTTCCTTTTGCCGTTGGTTCACCCTCCAATGGCCGCCGCGGCCGGCGAGCTGCGGCCAGCGCACCGCGCTGATCCGATGGCAGGAGCCAGGTACTTCTCCTGGTCTCCCATGGGGTGCAGGGCCCAAGCACTTGGGCCATCCTCCACTGTACTCCCGGGCCACAGCAGAGAGCTGGCCTGGAAGAGGGGCAACCGGGACAGAATCCGGCGCCCCGATCGGGATTAGAACCCGGTGTGCCGGCGCCGCAAGGCAGAGGATTAGTCTAGTGAGCCGCGGCACCGGCTCATAATAGTTTTATATGCAGATATTTCAGTGAATGTAAAAGATGAGAGAGCTTCAACGTAGCCCCTCATGATTGATTAATTCCACACTCATCAAGTGTCTAGGTACCAACCTTTAAAAAGATGGCCCGAAGATCAGTTATGTCGTAATTTGATTATTCAATGTGTTAACATATCCTGATACCTTCACAAGTTGTTAATACCTTTAATTAATTAATTCACATTCCCACAAAATTACATGAATAGTCTGTGCTGTTTTGCAGGGTAAGCCACATCAAAGACTTCATCGAGAAATACCAAGGATCTCAGAGAAGTCCTCCTTTTTCCCTGGCAACAGCTCTTCCCTTCCTCAGATCACTCGATGAAACGCTTACACTGGAAGAAGCAGATCTGCAGAATGCTGTCATTATTCAAAGACTCCAAAAAACTGTGGAACCCTTTAGAGAACTTCCATAGTGTTGGATTTTGATAGACTGAGTGGAAAATTTTCAGAGAAACGATGGTTGTAAGTGGGCATGCAAACCAAAGTGGAGAAAAAGAAAAGTCAGATTTGCTGGACTTTTGGGTTGAGCACTGTTTGACTCTCTTAATGAGAAGATGTTTAAATAAGTGCAAGTTAGGAAAGTAACATATGACTGGAAACTAGATTCAGTGTATTTTCCCGGAGGCTACTCAGAAAGAAAAATACATGTATTTTCTAATACCAATTCATCAACATAAGATATATTAAATAGCTGTATTAGTTAGAATCTTAAGACAGTATAAATTAGCAGATAGGCTCACAGCATGTCATTTAAACATCACTCCCAAATAGCAGGGATTTATTTAAATGTTAGCTGTTTCAGAGTTTTTAAATGGCAATATGTAAAAAAAAATTATGTAGGTCAGGCTGAAAGCATCAGGGTAATTATTTCATAACTTAGATATAATCAAGACTGAAAGGACCTGCTTTCTACCGCACCTGTGCCTACACATCATCAAAGTGTTCTCAGTTTTCATTCTGTAATGGCAGGATATACTCACATACTAATTTGGCAACAGTATCTAAGATATATTTTCATTTAAGGAGAAAATTGTGTAGCTTAGTATAATGTCAGTACTAATCTGCTTACTAAAATTTCTACATTTTCCTAAAACTTGTTTTTTAAAGTTTTCCCTCCAGAAACCCTACTTCATCCCCTATTTTCTTTTCTGTCAAAAATTAGGGATTTATTTTTATCGAAAATTTGGGATTAGTCATTCATTCACCAGCATTTAGAATCTAATGCCTATATGGTCACATTACTAATTAATGAGTATTTTTAAAATGTGCCACATAGAGTGTGGTTTTCTATTTCATACATCCCAGCCAATCTGTGTATACATTAAAGGATTGTTTATTATGTTCTGATGTCACCAAGGAAAACATGCTTTGTATCTTAGATTTTTTTAACTAAAGCCAGTAAGACTTTATTTCACCTTCAAGATTAAATCCCCTTGCCTGAAAATAAGTCTAAAAAGCTTTTGTGCAAATTATCTGTTAATTCAAATTTAAATTTAATGAAGTGTACATTGAGTGTGCCAATGAACTAAGTAGCCTGCATCAACTAAATGAGTGCTAAAAGCCACAGTTCTCAAAATTTTTGGTCTCAAACCTTTTATTTATGTGTGTTCACGTTATATATATATATATATATATATATAATTAAACAAAAGTATAAAATATCTATTTTAAAATAACCTGCAAAAGAAAAATAATTAGTAAAGTGGCAGTCCATTTTTGCAAATATCTTTTCTGTTTGACATAAAAAAGATTTGTATGTCTGCTTCTACATTCAATCTGTTGGGATCACACGTCATGTAGCCTCTAAAAAACACTGTACACTCATGAGTGACTAAAACAGAGGGAAATGATGCCTTAGTATTATTATGAAAGTAATCTTGAGTGGTTCTCAGGAACCCCCAGAATCCCTTGCCCACACGTTGAGGATCAGCCCCAAAGCCCAGTGGTTCACAGCACTTCCCACCTAGCCCTGTCCCTGGGATAGTTCCCAGTGGTTCACAGTGCTTCTCAAGCCTTAGCTCTTCCTACTTCCAGCCAGCCCTGTCCTGGGGTAGGTCCCAGGTCTCCGCACTTGTGATCCTGAGTGAGGTGTGTGGTGCAGGAACCACTCTTCAGGAAATCCTGTGCTGAGCTGCTTGGGCCAGAAACTAAATCCTGTTTGTTGGACCTCTTAGGTTTTATCCTTGTCCCCCAGTGTGCTTTTAGACACTAAACGTGGCATAACCTGTGTTTATGTCCTGTAGCATAAACGAGACAAAGCTGGAACACTTGAATGAGGTTTTTAGCAAAGACTCAGGAATAACAAAAGGGAATATATTCATGACTAGGCGAACTGGCTTATATCTTCTTTTGCACTGTTTTAAGAATGCTTCCTTTCCCAACTGCCAGCTGTGCGTGTGGCAGAGGGGTCTTCTTCTTAGAGAAAGGGGGAGGACGAAGGAAGGCCCTTTCCTGTCCTCTGTCGCCCTCAGGAAGGGACAGGTACATAACCGAAAGGAAGTGTTTACTGTCGGTACTGTTTACACAGCAATGCTACTGCCCTCTCAGTGGCGAAACAAAAATGATGACGTTCTGTAAAATAGGAGAGGATGGTAAAAATCAGTGAACTTCCAGACCTAGGAAATATGATTGCTGATATATGTTCAGGATCTGTAAGAAAGTGTGTCATTCCGTCTTATGAGACATTTTCATCTGCATAGTTCTAATCAGTACAGGAGTCCTCATTTGTTTTTGTGGGGGCCTCTCACTGAGACTGTGTCTTGTGTACCTTTGGGAGAGCCTCCGGCTTGTGATTATTTACAAAGACACGTGGGAGGTGCTCTCGTATGGACCTGGAAATATGCCCAGTGAGAGATTCCTACAGAGAAAGATGCATCTTAGCAATAAACCTTCATTTCTTTTAAACTGTGAAAACTTTTCATTAATATGAATCATAATCTCCAAGGTTTTCTAAAGTAATAATCATGTGATAACGCTTTCCACTTGAAAGTTTCCAAGTTGTAAATTAAATGTGTAGCATACTCACAACAGATTCACTTTGAAAAATGTAAACTGAATTTGCCAAGGAAAGTAAGCAAATGTCTTAGGTGGGGAAGATGGTTTTTGACCAAACGGTTGTTTCAAAATCATCATCAGTTCTTTCAGAGTGTTTGCTAGAGCTGATATATAGAGACCCACTCTTTGATTTTACAATTTCTGGTTTAGTGGCTAAATTGCCGTGTATTATCAAGGTTAAAAAGCAATCTTACTCTACATCTCTCATTCAGAGTCTTGTCCTGACGTTTTCAGTGTGTCGATAATGTTTTCATTTATTTCAGTGCCTTAAAGTATTTTGAAGTCTTTAGCTAATGGTTTAAGAGCTGTTCCCCTCAGGATGAAATACTGTCCATTTAAGAGGTCTGTGAAATCATTTATGCTTGTTAGAAAGTCATTACATGTGAATGCATCTCTCACTTCTTTCTGGCAAAGTCATTCAATTGGAAAGTCAACATTTATTTGGTGCCTTTGTGTTAGCCAGTATGACTTTAATTTAACACCAAGAAATGTAAAAGATAAGATATTTTTAATAGCAACTCCATAACGTTCTTTGTGTTTTGAAGTAGTGTGAAGAGTCTTTAGGTGAGTTTTACTCCTTTGTTCTTTGCCTTGATACAAACCATTAAGTGAGAAACTGCTCACCACTCTAAATCCTTAAACAAAAGTGGCTTATTCAGCATGTTAATATTTGCCTTTTTGTCTTTTGTTTTAAATGTATTAATGTATTATTTTGGACACAAATAATTCATATCAACAATGATTAAATGCAGATATGCTAACACGCTCTTTAAGTCACCTCTCACGGAGCGGTTCAGAGGCGGTCACTGCAGGCTGGGCGTCCCGGGGGAAGCACAGACGTCGCTGCGCACCAGCATCGCGCCGCACGCGACCTCATGTGACTGGGCCACGATGAGAGCGCACGTGTGCGAAAAATACTGCATAAAGTTACTTTCAGGCTGTATGTGTAAGGTATATCTGGAACATACATGATTCTCATGCTTAGATTTCTCATTGTTCAATCACCAAAAGCTAAAAAAAAAAAAAAAAAAAAAAAAAAATCCCAGATTTAAAACACTGTGGGCCCAGGCATTTCCGACAAGGACGACTCAGCCCATGTTTTGGTGTGTATCCTTTCAGTTGTTTCTCAGCGCACTGATCGTTGGTTTTGTTTTCATTAAAAGGCAACTGTGTTGGTTAATTTAATCCTGCTATTTGAAATATGATGTATTTCTTTTATTAGGAATTGCCTGAAGAACATACTACCACTTTAAGTAGAATAATAGCTATTGCGGGGAAGTGCCCTTATTTTAATATTTCTATGAAAAATGAATTTTTTTACCTCCTCCTTTTCAAAATGAAGATTGTGATACGACAGAGTACGAGCACAGGGGACAAAGTGTTTCCAGATCTGATGAAAGTGCACGCAGCGTGAGCTACTTAAGGATGCAGTGTCCAAAGAAACTTCAGTTTGTTTTATTTCAAAGGAATTAAATATTCATTCGCCACATGCGTGATCCAGTCCTTCCACTGGAATCAGGGAAACGGGGGTGCCTGTTGAGGAACTGAGGTGTGGAACAGGGAAGGGCCCGCTCTGCTCTGGGCATTGTATCCCTTAGTGTCAGATTGAGCTGTGGCTGAAAATCCAGAATAATGGCTGATTACAAACCACATTTTTATGTTTCCCATGCAGAAGTACAAAGGGAAGCAGTTTTGCCCACCTCATCCTCTGTTGACTGGAGGTCTCAAAACAGCTGCACCAGCACCAGCTGTTGTGTTTGCATCCAACCAATGGGAAGAGGCACACTCCTAACCTGTTGTAGTTAAACAGTTTTATTGTGATGTAATTCACATACCATACAGCTCACCCACTGGAAGTGTACAGTTCAATTCTCCACCATCTGATTGTAACCACTTTCCATGTCCTCTAAAAGCCCCATACTCAGGAGCAGCCCCTCGCTGTCCCCATCCCTGGGCAGCCACAGGTCTACACTGTCTCGAGTTGCTGTTTCTAGGCACATTACAGATGTGCAGTCTTGTGACTGGCTTCTTTGCCTGCTGTCTGTCTTCTTCCTTTTTGTTGCCCGGTAATTGTCCAGGGAATGCACACAGCACACCTTTTACCTGCCCACATGGACATTTGGGTTTCCATGGTTTTGGCTGCTGTATACTATGTTCAGTAATGCTGCTAATCAGCATTTGCAAGTTGCTATGGGAACATATTTCCATTTCTTGGAGGTACAGGCTGAGGAGTGGAATTCCTGATGGGGCCTGCATCGATGGGAAGTGGTACCTCATTGTAGTTATCTAACGACTGAGCTGTTTTTGACGTGCTTGTTGTCCTTTTGTGTCTCTAGAGAAGGATCTGTTCAAATCCTTGGCCCATTTAAAAATTGGATTGCCTTTCTATTGAGTTTGTTATCCCAGTACAAATCCCTTTTACTTTGGAAATGGTTTCCGCCATTCTGTGGGTGGCGTTGCACACAGGTGAAGTTTTGATGCGGTCTAGCTTGTATCTCTGGTTGTGGAAGAAACGGTGGTTTAGCCCATTTTTTGAGGACTTGCTCCTGTTCTGAAAGTTTTATAGTCTTGGCCTGTTATGTTCACATATGCAGTACTTCAATTCCTTGTTGTGAGGTGCGGCGTTTTCCCCTTTAAGGAATTTCTGGGCTGTTGCATTTCCCTCTGGCCGCAGCTTAGTTTCGGGTGTATGGCTCAGGTCCCGGGCATCAGGTTTAGCCATAATCCTGGTCTGAACAAGCTGATGTTATTTGCCCGCTTTCACCCGTGGGGATCTAGGGGGAGGGTAGAGCAGCCCCTCCCTCAGGGCCCCACCCACACGACCCCAAGAAAAATTCCAAGGGACTTGCGAGCCTTTCTCCCCAGCAAATTCTGGTTTCCAGCTGTTTCCCCTCGGAGAGAGGAACCCGTGCACTTTCTTGGTTCGCGCACGCAGGGGGCGACTGCGGGCAGAACGCGTGCGGACCCCAGCGCCCCAGCCTGCCGCGCCCACGTGGCCCGGGAGCCGCCTCTCCGTGCGATAGCGCGGAGGCCGCCTCCAGTCGGAGCTGCTGCGTGCGATGGCGGTGTCCCCTGGACCTGCCCCGGCCGTGGAGGCGCCGCCGCTCCAGCCGGAGCCAGGCTCGGTGAGCGCAAGTCGGGGTGAGCGGGGAGCGGGCTGAGTCAGGCCGGGGGGGGGGGGGGGGTGGTGGTGCTGGGCTGGGAGAGGGGCCCGCATGGCCATCCCTCTTGCAGCCCAGCTGGGGGCGGGGTGGGGGTGCCTGGCTCTCTGACTGCTGGCCAAGTGTGCCGGCTGAGAGCAGGAGGCTGAGGAATTGGAGTGCCCTAGGAGAACAGAATGGGAAACCAAGGTCTAGACAAGTGATGCAACTGCTGGGATTTCTCCCACTTGTCAGGTTTCCCAGGCTAGGGCTCTTTCTGCCCGGAGGCCTCAGCCCAGGGGGCCGCTTCCCTCCCCCTGCCTCCAGGCTGCCGCTGTGGGCACAGGCACCAACTCTCCTGGGGCAGTCAGCCCAAAGGTGGGGGGGAGGGTAGGTGGGAGCCCCCAGGTGCCCTGTGTGGAGCCTGCGGGGCACGTGCTGCCAAGGGGAGGCACCAGTGCAGGGGCCTTGGGAACCTCTGCTGAGTGCCACATCCCTGCACAGCGCCATGGTCAAGGCATTCTGTGGCTTCACGGGCCACTTGACCACGGGCACCTCAACCTCCCACCTTGTTTCCGGGCAGGAAGTCAGGCACCTCCGGGCAAAGGACAGCGCTCCCCAAGAAACAGTGGGAGGAGGAAGGAGGAGACCCCTCTGGGGACTTCTTTCCCCGGTGGGAATTTAGAAAATGGGGGTGAAATTTGCGGCAGAGGAAAAACCAACACAAGCAGGGAGGTGCCAGCGCCTAAGTCTCCCACCTCTGCTGAGGACCCTGCCCGGGTCACGCAGCCACAGATGGCAGCTGTCTGGCTGGAAAACTCAGATGCAGGCTGCTGTGCCGGGCTTGGGACTTCAGGAGGTGGAACTGCATTGCATTTGTGCTGGAATTTCTTCTGGGTGCCCTCAAAACTTGTTGGCCCAGTTAGGGGGAAATAAGAGCCCCCGTTCGGGGAGGATTCTGCCTGTTCTTAGGTTTTCTGAAGTTGAACTAGGAACACTCCGGAAAGGAGGACATATCCCAGCCCGAGTGTGGTTTTCCCCTTTGGGTAGGGAGCGTGTGCGGAGGCTGAGATAAAGCCGTATCTGGGCCGTCTCTTCACGAGAGCCTGCTGTGGTGCCCTGCACGATAGGAAGTGGGTGCAGCCACAGTCCTCAGCCCCGCTCCCTCCCCAAGCAGAGGGTGAGTAAAAAGGGGCCCCAGATCGTTGAAGACACAGCACGTTACACGGTGCCTTCGTGGCCATCTACTGCTCCAACCTGTCTGTCCTGAGCACCTCCCGTACACTGAGCCTTGCTCCCGGTGCTGCAGTTACCCTTCATGCTCTCCCCTGCGTGCTATAGGAGAGGCGCACAGCTGAGACTACGGCAGGCAGAGAGGCTGTGGCAGGCTGGGAAGGCCTCCCTCGAGGGTCAGCTCGTGGAAGACGGAAGAGCCTTCCGTACAGAAGGAATGGGCAATGTCAAGGCCCTGAGGCAGCAACAGACCTCGGTCACGTTCAAGGACAGGGAGGCAGCCACCATGGCGGAAGGGGAGCTACTGGGCATGAGGTGGGTGAGCCAGCAGAGGTTGAGTGGGTGGGCTCCTCCAGAGCTGCCCAGGACTTGGGGTGTTCCCCAAACTGACAAGCAGCTGCAGGGTTTAAGCAGAGAGCAGACATGGCGCTGGCACTGGGCAGAGTGGATTGTAGCAAACGAGCAGATGCCACAGCACTCAAGAGGCTCCCAGTGACAGGGCAATTGGAAAAGAGGAATCCAGGATGACTCCAGGTTTGCAGCTGAGCCACTGACCGGCCATCGCATGCAGTGGGGACAGCACTGGGAGCTGGTTTAGACACGGGCTGGAAATCAGGACCCACTTCCAGGTGGAGCTGAGCAGTCAGCTACGTCCTGGACTCTGCAGTTCGCTGCCTGTTCAGGGCTTGCATGCTCATACGCTGGGGCTGGAAACATTGCTTTGTATCTGTGATGGGCTATAAGCAGTCTCTCCAGGAAAAGAGAGAAAAAAGTTGTGTTTTTTCTTTTTCTATTTGTCTCGCGTCCCTTTAGGGTGATTTGAGGGCAGAGTGAAAGAGGTTGCTGGCCGAGTCCTCCCGGCATCGCTGGGACCTGGGAGGGGGTGGGAAGCCATGTTCTGTCTGTGCTCGTGGGGACTGAGTTCCTGTGTCTCCCCAGGCCAGCAGAGACAGCCGCCTGTCCTTCTGTACGAAGATGTGCTATGGCATCGGTGGGGTCCCGAACCAGGTGGCCTCCAGTGCCACTGCCTTTTACCTGCAGCTCTTCCTGCTTGATGTGGCCCAGGTGAGGGGGCAGCAGCGCGGTGCCCGCTGCTCACGTCTTCCCTGGTGTCGGTCCTTCCGCCCCACTGTGCCCAGCGCCACTCAGGCCACCTGCTGCTGAGGGCTGTCTCGGGGGTGTCTGCAGCCGGACTTTAGAGGGCAATGGGGAACCACTGTTAGTGCCCCTCGATGTAGAAGCAGCTGCATAAGCGAGTTGCACTGAACCCACACACTGGACAGTGGCACGGCCGTTCCAGTGGTCTGCCCTGGTTGATCCGAAGCATTTCTGCAGTGCCAATAAGAATAGCTAGTTTTAGGGGCCAACACCGTGGCTCACTTGGTTAATCCTCCGCCTGCGGTGCCTGTATCCCATATGAGTGCCGGTTCTAGTCCCGGTTGCTCCTCTTCCAGTCCAGCTCTCTGCTGTGGCCCGGGAAGGCAGTGGAGGATGGCCCAAGTGCTTGGGTCCTGCACCCTCAATGGGAGACCAGGAGGAAGCACCTGGCTCCTGGCTTCGGATCGGCGCAGCACCAGCCATAGCAGCCAATTGGGGAGTGAACCAACAGAAGGAAGACCTTTCTCTCTTTCTCTCTCATTGTCTATAACTCTACCTGCCAAATAAAATAATAATAATAAAAAAAGCTAGTTTTAGAGAATAGTGTATAAAATAGTCCCATTTCAGCAAAAACACCCTCCATATTTGTGTGTGATTTCAGTAAGAGCACGGGAAAACACTGGCAGGACACACACCAAGGTGCTCGGGTCGTCCCCAGGAGGGAATGCCCCAGGGCGGAGCGCGAGCAGCAATGGCTTCCCCCTGGGCTGTCTGTGCTCCGGGATGTCCGTTTACACAAGGTTCCAGGGCTCAGATGCACATCCATTCACGGGGAGATGATCAATGAAATGCTGTCAGCAGTTGTCTCAGGGTGGTGGCAGTGCAGATGAGCTTCGCTTAATATGTTTCCTGTACTGTATTTTTCTAATGAGTGCACCATTTATGTATTCAGGAAGATCAATAAACTGCTATTGTGAAACAAAACGTCTGCCTCTGACTGTCAGCCTGGGTCTACCATGTTGCTCAGAGCCAGCCCCTGATGAGGAAGGGGCCCTCGAATCTTGGACGGGCATGCGCCGGTGTGCGTCTCCCTCCCGCATGCCCCTTTCTCCGGGGCAGATGCCCCAGAGCCTTCTGGATTGGAGTCCTGGGGAGGAGGCTGCGCAGTCTTTCCCCCTGTGGCTCTAGCCCTCGCTGAATTCCCAGGTCGCCCTGCTCAGGGGAGGGCCAGCCCGGACTCCCTGTGACCCTGCCACGCCTTGGCTTTGTCTCCCCTCCCCTGTCCATTTCAGATCCCTGCTGCCCAGGTGTCACTTGTCCTGTTTGGAGGGAAGGTGTCTGGGGCAGCCGCTGATCCTGTGGCTGGGTTCTTCATCAACAGAAGCAGGAGGACAGGATCTGGACGACTCATGCCCTGGTGAGTGGCCCCATGGTCCTTAGGGTGCAGGCCAGGTGCCTGGATGCTGAGTTCACTGTGTACGGCGCAGACTGCTGGTGAGAGCATGGGACTGGACAGCAGGGCAGGTGCACCGGGGACTGGACTGCTCTGAGGCACGTGGCAGTTGGGAGATGACCTTGGAGCTCTCCCTCACCAGATGCCACAGGGCTGGAGCAGGCCAAGCCTGCAGCCCTGAGTGTGGTCAGCCTGGGCTGGAGGCCAGGGAAGGTCTCACAGAGGAAGTACAACTTGACTTCCAGTGTCCTTTTAACAAGGACTGGCACGGCAGAGTGCTGGCAGTGAGTGACCCCCCAGTCCTCCGTCTCCATAGCTCCCACCACACGCTCCAATCACGCTTCTCGAGTGGCAGAGAAGGGCCTGGGTTGTTCCGGCTGGGAGCCTGCTGGTGCGGTGGGTGCTCCACCTTGCTGTGCCCGCAGGGTGCTGGGCTGCACGCCCTTCATCGCCGTGGCCTACTTCTTCCTCTGGTTCCTACCCCCCTTCACCAGCCTGCGAGGCCTCTGGTACACCATCTTCTACTGCCTGTTCCAGGCCTTGGCCACGGTAAGCGGCGCCCATTGCCCCCAGGGCCAGGGGACCGACCACTAGTTCTGGGGACGCTGCTCTGGGCTCGATGTCCCCTCCTGCCTTTGAGCCCCAGCCCTGAGCCTTGGGTGACCAGTAGGGATGTGTCAGTGTGGCTGAGGAGCAGGGGTGGAACAGGGCGGTGGTGGCCCTTGGCTTGGTGAAGCGGGGCTCCCGCTGGCCGCTCTGGGTTACGGGGCCATGCTGAGCTGCGCCAGTGCCTCCAGTTCTTCCAGGTGCCATACACAGCACTCACCATGCTCCTGACCCCCAGCCCCAGGGAGCGAGACTCGGTCACTGCCTACCGTGAGTGCAGCCGTGGGGAGCGGACAGGAGGGTGCTGCCCCGGGGCCCCGTGCCTAGCCGCCCTGGGCACCTTGCACAGTGCTGTGTCTCCAGGGATAACCATGGAGATGGTGGGGACGCTGATGGGAGCCACCGTCCACGGGCTCATCGTGTCTGGCGCCCACGGGCCCCATGGGTGTGAGGATGCTGCACTCCCCAGGCAGGCCGCCCTGTCCCCCGACGCGGTGAGTGACCCTTCTCCCAGGGCTGCTTCCTCCCTGCGCCCGGCACCCTCCCTTCGTAGTCCTTCTGGGCGAATTTTGTTCCCTCCCTGAGCCTCTAGCCGAGAGCTTCAGCACCCAAGGTCCTGGTCCCTTGTGTACACAGGGATGGGCTGCCCTGAGGGGACATCTATCCATGCCCCAGGGAAGGGACCAGGTTGGGAAGGCCCTCAGGCAGGACGCAGGAGAGGACAGAGAAGCCCCCAGCCCTGTCCAGGCGACCCCCACCAGCGGTGTGAAAAGAAATGAGAAGGGGAAGCCAGGGAGCAGGCCCCGCCTCTGCCCGCAGACGGCCCCTCTTCAGCCATCAGTAGATGCATCTGTGAGCCATCGCCTCCACCCTCCTGTTCTGTAAGCACAGGACCCACCCTCCCCCCAGCCCACTGCAGGGCACCGGGGAACTTGTCAGAGGGGCAGTTTTCACACCCAACCCACACCTCCTGGGGCCCAGCAAGTGGATAGGAACAAGCCCTCAGGGGATTCTGACCACGCTCAGGCTTCAGAATCCAGGGCTTGGGTAATGCGTGAACAGCACGGACGCCACCCTCTGCAGGGCCAGCTCAGAGCTGGTCTGTGTGCATGGGGATGTCCCTCTCCCCCCGCCACTGCTCGCACCACAACTGAGCCATCGCAGCCTCCAGCGCTGGGACCTGCCAGGTGCCCACGAGGTGCCCGGATCAGGACGGCGAGGGGCTCCCGCCCAGGCACCCTCCAGTTCACCATGGCACTGCCAATCTAGGCATTGCCCTTCCCCAACCAACCCTCCCTCCCCCTACCGCAGGCCCCCAACTCCATGCCCCTCCACGTTACCTGGTCACTGAGGTGCAGGGTGACAGTGGCCTGGGGTTGAGGAGGGGGAGGACGCCAGGTAGGAGCTGGGGTGCCGAAGAGGGGGGATTGGGAGGCTGAGAACCCACTCCTGGGAGGCAGTACCTCCGGTGAGCCCAGGCTGGAAGCCCATGGCAGCTCATACCCACCTCCCATCCGACGTCATTCAAATTCCAGGTAAAACCATCACGACAGCTGGGGCAGAGCATTAAACCCAAGCACAGCGCTTTCTGAGCACAAGGCCCAGGGCACCAGCGTGGGACCTGCCCCTGTGAGAGCCCTGGGCCCCGCTCCCCGCCCCGCTCCCCAGAGCAGCCTCTGCTGAACTGCTGTCGCCCCCACCGGTCCCTCGGGGCAGCTTCAGCACCTGCAGCTTTTCTCCAGGACAGGGAGTGTGTTTTCTGCACCTGCCGGGGTCACTGTGTGACACTGACCTGGAGCCGTCTTGTGGATGCACAGGGCTCACCTGGTCATCAGCAGCAGGGGCGGGCTGGTGGGGACAGCGCTGGTGGCATCGATGCCCGGGGCAGTGGAAGGGGTGTGTGTGCAAAGTCCTTTCTGTCCCCTCTCCTGCTGGGGAGGCTGGGAGGAGAGGTGTCCAGCCTGCCTGGGCTGGAGTCCCTCTGCTCCCCTCAGGGACACTCCTGCCCTGGTCTAGGGACAGGGAAGGCTGGGGGCACAGCCAGGGTTGGAGACATGAGCCCGACTCCGGCTCTGCCCTGTCCCGCAGACACGTCTCTACTGCATCGCAGCCGCCGCAGTGGCTCTGACTTACCCCGTGTGTAGCAGTTTGCTGTGTCTGGGGGTGAAGGAGAGACCAGGTACGGGGTGGGGGCAGTGAGCGTGTGGGAAGCAGAGGCTGGGGGTGGGGCTGCTCTGGGGGGGGGCAGGTTTTGTTTGGATGCTGCCAGGCCTCGATGGCACCTTCCTGTGTTGTAGCCTCCTCTGCCCCAGCCTCAGGCCAAGGCCTGAGCTTCCTGGCTGGGCTGGCCCTCACTGCCCGGCACCCACCCTACCTGAAGCTCGTGGTCTCCTTCCTGTTCATCTCAGCCGCCGTTCAGGTACCTCTGGCCAGCAGCGCCCACCCTGCACAGGTGGAGTCTGCCCCGCCACAGCCGAGTCCAGCCTGAGGCTGGCCCTGGGAGGAGACCCGGGGCGGTGGGGCCGAGGGGGTCTGGGCCCAGGCGCCGGGAGCTGATGGTGCCTGGAGCGGTTTGCTCTCCTGTCTCTCAAAGCTCAGTAAAGTCCCTCTGACTTTAGCTGTGCGAATGGCAAGGGTGGACACAGTGTTGGCGACAATGTCGGGGACATGTCCTTCTCAGGGGCGGTGATGGCATGATGGTGATAATCTGAGTTCAAGGTCCCAAAAGAGCACCAGGCTTGAGCCCCTACCCTTGCCCGTGGTTTCTGCCGTTCCCTGCACACGCCCACTTCCTGTCCCCGCCCCTCCACAGGTGGAGCAGAGCTACCTGGTGCTGTTCTGCACACACGCCTCCCGGCTACACCACCACGTGCAGAGCCTCGTGCTAACCATCCTGGTGAGGGGACCGGGCTGGCAGAGGACAGGGCACTTGGTCCTTGACCCAACACGCATGCGGCCAGAGTTCTGGTGGCCAACGTTCTGGACTCTGCATTGGGCCACTGCATCCCAGCAGCGGGTGGGATCGGGGCCAGGCTCGTAATGCTCACAGCCACTGCTCAAGCCAGGGGCGGGCGGGGCTCTGGGTGAAGGCGCCCTTTGCTTTGCTTTCAGGTCTCGGCTGTGCTGAGCACCCCGCTGTGGGAGTGGGTTCTCCAGCGGTTTGGGAAGAGGACCTCGGCCTTTGGAATCTTTGTGAGTGAGGCAGGAAGCAGGGGGTGGGGTGCAGGTGACTGGAGACGGACAGGACAGCATCTGTCCCCTGTGTCGCGGGGCCAGGGGCCAGGTCAGCAGCACAGCATGAGCATGTGTGGATGGAAGAGCGAGCCCGGGGCACAGGGGGAGGGACCAGCTGGTGTGGCTGTCTCGCCAGGTGATGGTACCTTTCGCGATCTTGCTGGCCGCTGTGCCCACAGCCCCCGTGGCATACGTCGTGGCCTTTGTATCTGGCGTGAGCATCGCCGTGTCCTTGCTGCTTCCATGGTAGGCACCGCCCCTCCCCGCCAGTCTGCTATCCCAGGCCTGTGCAGGAGATGGGGGCCGCCAGTACTACCTCCGGGGCTGGAGCGGTGGGGGTGAGGGTAGCACGCATCCCGCCCGGCTCGCGGTGGCCGGTGCTGGCCTGGGAGCTGCTGGCTGCCCAGGGGCCTCAAGGGGGACTCCCCGGGCCCTCTGCAGGTCCATGCTGCCGGACGTGGTGGAGGATTTTGAACTGCAGCACCAGCACGGCCCGGGCTTGGAGACCATCTTCTACTCCTCCTACGTCTTCTTCACCAAGCTTGCGGGCGCAGGCGCGCTGGGCATCTCCACCCTCAGTCTGGAGTGAGTCCCTGACCCTCTGCCTCTCACGCCCTGGGTCCACCTTGTGGCTCAGAGCCACCCCGGGCGAGGGAGGAAGTGGAGCGGGCATGCGCCAGCCAGGGTGCAGCTCCCTCCTGCGTGCCCCCTTCTTGTCCAGGGCAGGGTGCCCTCGGAGCCTTCTGGCTGGGAGTCCTGCCACCGAAGATCCCCCTCCTACCCGGCTAAGGGCACCCGTGGGCGGGGGGCAAGCTCCGCTGAGTGGAGATGGCAGGGGCCACTTCCCTGTGCACGTGACTGGCCCCTTTCCGAAGCTGCGGCCCCGCGGTCACAGGAGAAGCGGTCTCAGGAGAGTGGGAGTGGGGTCGGGGGCCCTGTCCAGGCAGCCCTGCGGGGCAGGACCTGAGCTGGCACGAGGGGCTGCCGTTTCCCCAGGTTCTCGGGCTACCAGGCGGGAGCCTGCCAGCAGGCGGAGGAGGTGGTCGTGACCCTCAAGGTCCTCATTGGAGCTGTGCCCACCTGCATGATCCTAATCGGCCTGTGCATCCTCATGGTCGGCCCCGCCCCCAAGGCGCCAAGCCAGGACACCTCGCGGCAGCTGAGCCTTCAGAGGTGGGTGCCCCCAGGCGCGGACTCCCAGGCCCGGGCCGCACTCGGCTGAGCCTTGCCTTTGCTCCCGGGATGTTTTCTCCTCCCTGGGCCTGCCTAGGGGGGACCATGGGCAGGCTCCTTCCTGCTCTCCTGTTCTGGGCACTTCAGCTACCTGCCCAGCCTTCAGCACCTCCCGCACCCGGGGCTCCTGCAGCTGCCCCTCCACTTCCCCCAGTCCTGTCTCGGTGCAGGGTGAGCGATGGCTGTCACCGGCCAGGGTCCACCCTCCTGGGGGCTGCAGGAGCCCTGCTCTGCCCTGGTCCTTCCCCCACTGCGCCTGCCTTTCCCAGTAGCCTGTGGGGACCCTGGAGGCTGGGCTGTATTCATTTCTGGATCCAGAAAGCCCGGTACCGAGCCTGAGGCCCAGCAGGTGCTCAGAGAAGGCCCGCGAGGGCTTCAGAGACCCCCAGACTCACACACGCGTCCCGCGGAGGCCTACTGAGCCGCCCCGATGAGCAAGCTGCTCCATGGCTCCTGCAGAAGCACCGCTGTAGCTTCCTTAAGGCTCCCCTGGGGGCTCGGGGGCAGGTGAGGCTCCGGCCCACCCCACCCTCATCCTGGCTTCTTTCCCTTCCTGCAGGAGGACCAGCTACAGCCTCACCTAACGCGGGAGCCGGCGTGCTGCTCCACGGCCCTTCCGCATCCACCTCGCCGAGCCGGGGTGCGCTGACTGGGCTGCAGGACGCCGCCCTAGCAGCTCTGGTTCCACTGAAGACGGCCTCAGAGAGACCTGTGCCCCGGTCCGCCGCAGCTCTGCCTGCGCCGCCAACAGCAACCAGTTCTAGAGTACGGAAGCCCCCTGGCCCGGCCCCAGCAGCGGGACACAGACGGTTTGCCCTGAGGCCCCAGAGTCTGTGCAGACAGGAACAGGCCGTGGGGCCACGTGGACTTGCCTGGGGTGCAGACACGGACAGCGCCAGCCCGCCCAGGCGCGCTTGGGGCAGCCGTGGCCATGAGAGCGTGGGTGGCGCCACAGGCGTTTCTCAAGCTCCCTCTCTGTCCCTAAGTTGCTGCCACTGTTTCTGTCAGCACAAAGCTCCATCACGTGTACAGAAGAGTTGTTTGTGTAGGCATATTGTTCTGGAACTTTCTCGAAGGTTGTTCAGGGGCCATGTCTTTGGGGACGAGAGAGCTACTGAGGTTTACTTTTTCAAAAACAAAGTAAAGGGTTTATCGTCTAGTCAGTCTGTGAGCTGTGACTGTGGCCCTGCGACCCCGCGGTGAGAATCCAGGAGGGAGACGGGCATGCCCGTGTCACTGAACCTGGGCCTGTCCAGGCTCCTGCAGGAGACACCAGGCTGAGGCCACGCCGGCTCATGTGCACAGGGGCCTGAGCTGGAGTGCAGAACCCCCGGGAATGCCTGCCTGGAAAAGTTCAGGCACCAAAACGGGGGGCCTGGAGAGGCAGGCTTGCCCCCACGCCCCAAGCTCTACCCCTCCCTGGGGTCGGCTCCCCTGAGCTCATGGCCCAGGGCTCACACCCGGCCTCAGACAGGAGGAGTTCCCGGGGCTTCAAGCATCCCGCCTCCCCGCCGCCTCCCCCTACACTGCGCCAGCCAGGGGTCTCACCTGGGCTGTGTGATGCCTCAACGCCCGCCCTCGTGACACCGCCGTGAATGGCTGACCTTGAGGTCAGAGGACACCAGGGAAAGCCCAGGCCTGGCCTCCCGGGACTGTGGAAGGAGCTGACAGGAAGCTCTGTGCCCCTTCCTGCTGAGCACCGGTGGGAACACGGATCCCCCCCACACACCCACACACCCACTCCCACACACACACACAGGCATGCTCTGGCAAACAGGCGGGAAGAGTGTCTACCCTGGGCCATCGCTGGCCCTGTGGAGAAAGCCCCTGGCAAGAGAAGGCCGGGAAAGCTGCCAGGCCTTGTTACGGGACGCACTGGGAACCTGGGCAGTGCGGGTAGGATCAGAAGCCTGCGCCACGTTCATCATCTGCTGTGTGGAAGCAGAGCTCCGAGTCCTCGGACTGACCGGGGGGCGTTTGCAGGAACCCCTGCTTTACCGCCATGTCAGGCATCGGTATGGCATCTGACCTGGGGACAGCCCCCTGGGACTGGGCCCTTAGCCTGCAGGGTCTGCGTAACTCCAGGCAGTATCAGGCATGGGTCACACTGGAGGATGCTCGGGTTAGTGTTCACGGAGAACTGGAGAATTTTCTGGTGTAGAAAACCCACATATTTGCTGTCAGAAGTGTGATGAGGGGCCGGCACTGTGGCGCAGTAGGTTAATCCCCCGCCTGTGGCGTTGGCATCCCATATGAGTGCCGGTTCAAGTCCCGGCTGCTCCACTCCAGTCCAGCTCTCTGCTATGGCCTGGGAAAGCAGCAGAAGATGGCCCAGTCCTTGGGCCCCTGCACCCACATGGGAGTTCAGGAAGAGGCTCCTGGCTTTGGATCGGCGCAGCTCTGGCCATTGCAGCCCTTTGGGGAATAAACCAACAGAAGGAAGACCTTTCTCTCTGTCTCTCTCTCACTGTCTGTAACTCTACCTCTCAAAATAAATAAAAAATCTTTAAAAGGAAAAGCTGGCCTTTTTTTTTTTTTTTTTTTTAGTCTCATAAGCATTAAAGGAATTAAATATTTAAAAATATTCCCACAAAGAAAACACCAGATACAAATGATTATACAAGTTCCATCATTCAGTCAAGGATCAATCCTACCTTAGGGAAACTCCCCGAACAGGAAAGGGCATCCTCTCCCACACACTGTATGGGGCCAGAGTAAGTTTGTTACCAAAACAAAAACAGACAAAGTAAGAAAGGCTAACCTTATTCATTAACAGAGACTCCTAGGGGCCGGCGCTGTGGCGCAGCAGATTAAAGCCCTGGCCTGAAGTGCCGGCATCCCACATAGGCGCTGGTTCTAGTCCCCGCTGCTCCTCTTCCAACCCAGCTCTCTGCTATGGCCTGGGAAAGCAGTAGAAGATGGCCCAAGTCCTTGGGTCCCTGCACGCACGTGGGAGACCCAGAAGAAACTTCTGGCTCCTGGCTTCGGATCAGCCAGCCGTAGCGGCCATTTGCGGGGTGAACCAGTGGAAGGAAGACCTTTCTGTCCCTCTCACTGTTTGTTTTAATTTTTTTATTTATTTGAGAGGTACAGTTACAAACAACAACAACAAAAAAAACAGAATCCTAAACAAAATACTAGCATGCTGAATCAAGCAATGTTTAAAAAAATGCAGCATGATCATACTGAGTTTATTCTAGGAACACAAAGCTGAATATCAGAAAAATCCACCAAATGATATTTACCATGTTAACACATTCAAGGAGTAAAAAATTACCAGAACAAAAAAATGTGATAAAAACCTACCACCCATTCATAACAAAAGTACTTAGCAAACCAGGAAGAGAAAAGGAATCTACCCCAACTGTAGTAAACAACACACTCAATGGTGAAACAGTCCTTTTAAAGTCATAAACAAGACCAGTGTCATCCCAATCAAAATATGAATGACATTCTTCACAGAAATAGAAAAATCGGGGCGGCACTGTGACATAGAAGGTTAAGCCTCTGCCTGCACTGCTGGCAAGCTATGTGGGCACCGGTTCAAGTCCCAGCTGCTCCACTTCCACTTCAGATCCAGCTCCTTGCTAATGCACCTGGGATAGCAGATGAGCCAAGCTCTTGGGCTCTTGCACCCACATGAAGAAGAAGCTCTTGGCCTTGGCCTGGCCCAGTCCCAGCTGTTGCAGTCATCTGGGGAGTAAACCAGATGGAAGATGGAAGACCCCCCTTTCTCTCTCTCTCTCTCTCTCTCTGAAACTCTTTCAAATAAATTTTTTTTTTTTAATTTATTTGACAGGCAGAGTTAGACAGTGAGAGAGAGACAGAGAAAGGTCTTCCTTCCGTTGGTTCACCCCACAGATGGCTGTCATGGCCAGTGCACTGCACTAATCCGAAGCCAGGAGCCAGGTGCTTCCCTCCCATGTGGGTGCATGTGGGCCCAAGTGCTTGGGCCATCCTCCACTGCCTTCCCGGGCCACAGCAGAGAGCTGGACTGGAAAAGGAGCAACTGGGACAGAATCCGGCACCCCAACCGGGACTAGAACCCGGGGTGCAGGCACCACAGGCAGAGGATTAGCCAAGTGAGCCACGGCGCCAGCCCCAATAAAATAAATTAAAAAAAAAAAAATCCATACACTTACAGCCAACTAATTGTTGACAAGGGCACCAAAAACATACTTTGGAGAAAGGAAAGTCTCTTCAATAAATGGTGTTGAGGGGCCGGTGCTGTGGCATGGTGTGTTAAGCCACCACCTGTGATGCCAGCATCCCATATAAGTCCTGGTTCGTGTCCTGACTGCTCCACTTCTGGTCCAGCTCCCTGCTAATGGCCTAGGAAAAGAGCAGAAGATGGTTCAAGTGCTTGCCACCTGCAGGGCAGACCCAAATGGAGATTGTGGCTCCTGGCTTCAGGCTGGCCCAGCCCTGGCTGTTGTAGCCATCTGGGAAATGAAACAGCAAGTGGAAGATCTTTCTCTCTGTAACTCTTTCAAAATAGATAATTTTTTAAAAGATTTATTTATTTGAAAGAGTTATGCAGAGAGAGAGGGAGAAGCAGAGAGAGAGGTCTTCCACCAGCTGGTTCACTCCCCAATTGGCCGCAATGGCCAGAGCTGCAACGATCCAAAGCCAGGAGCTTCTTCTGGGTCTCCCATGTGGGTTAGGGGCCCAAGAACTCGGGCCATCTTCTACCGCTTTCCCAGGCCATAGCAGAGAGCTGGATTGGAAGTGGAGCAGCCGATACTCGAACCAGAGCCCATATGGGATGCAGACAGCAGCTTTACCCACTACGCGACAGCACCGGCCCTGATAAATCTTTTTAAAAAAATAAGAAATAGGGGCCAGCGCTGTGGTGCAGCAGGTTAAAGCCCCAGCCTGCAGTGCTGGCATCCCACATGAGTGTCGGTTCGAGTCCCTGTTGCTCCACTTCCAATCTGGCTCCCTGCTGAAGTGCCTGGGAAAGCAGTGGAGGATGACCCAAGTGCCTACCCGGGTCCCTGCACCGACATGGGAGACCCAGAAGTTCCTGGTTCTTGGCTTCAGATCGGTTCAGCTCTGGCCGTTGCAGCCATTTTGGGAGCGAACTAGCGGATGAAAGGCCTCTCTCTTTTTCTCTGCCTCTCTCTGTAACTGTCTTTCAAAACAATAATTAAAAAATTTAAAAAGCACAGGCAACAAAAGTATTTAAAAACAAGTAAGATTACATCAAACTAAAAAGCTTCGGGTTAGCAAAAGAAAACAAAGTGAAAAGATAAATTACAGAATATGAAAAATTATTTTCAAACTATACTTGTACATCAGATAAGGGGCTAACATCTAAAATACATAAGGAAGGGAGGGTGTGGTGGTGCAGCGGATTAAGCTGCTTTGTGGGACCCCTGCATCCCATGTCAAAGTGCAGGCTGGAGTCCTGGCTTCTCTGCTTCAGATCCAGCTTCCTGCCAATGCACCTGGGAGGCAGCAGATGATGGCCCAAGTGCCTACTCGGGTCCCTGCCACCTACATGGATACGTGGATAGAGTCCCTGGCTTTGGTGTGGCCTAGCTCTACTGTTGAGGGCATTTGGAGGTGAACCCATGGATGGAAGACTTTTTTTTCTCTCTCTCTCCCTTCTCCCCAGCCTCACCCTGTCACTCTGCTTTTTAACTAAGAGGAATGCATAAGGAACTAAAATGGGGGGACAAGTAACTGGTAAAAGATGGAGCAGGTGCTCAGCCTAGTGGCTAAGATGCCCACAATTTGCATCATTTGTTCAACAAAACACACCATAAAGAAAGTGCAAAGACAAGTCACAAACTGGATAGAGAGATTAGCAATATATACTGACAATGAAGAAAGAAAATGAAGAAAAAAACCTTGGAGCCAGCATTACAGTGCAGTGCAGTGGATTCAGTGGAAAGTAGTGGCAGGGATCCAAGTACAGGGGCTCTGCCACCCATGTGGGAGACCCTGATGGAGTTCCTGGCTCCTGGCTTTGGCCTACCCAGACAAGGACTGAGTGACCCAGTGAATGGAAGCTATTTCTCCCTCTCTCTGTCTCTCTCTCTCTCTCTCAATAAATCTTTAAAAGAAGACCCTGCAACCCATACTGGAGTGCCTCAGTTCGAGTCCCAGCCCTGGCTCTAATTCCGGCTTCCTGCTAATACAGACCTCGGGAGGCAGCAGTGATGGCTCAGGTACTTGGGTCCCCGCCACGCACGTGGGAGACCTGGATGGAGCTCCGGGCTCCCAGCTGTGGACTGGCCCAGCCCAGCTGTGAACCACCAAATGGGAGCTCTGCCTCTGCCTCCCAGTAAAACACACACACGAAGTAACAACACACAAACATCAAGAGTGAATGTCAGACACAGCACTGAGTGAATGCAGGCAAGCCACACGGAATACGTATGTACACACACACATACTGTATTACGGTGGTAAAAGGCCTCTTCACAAAGAAAAAGAAGGAATGAGAAAATAGTAACAACAATCAAGGCATCAGTCGCCTCGGGGGAGAAGCCACGGGTACAGGTTTGAGGAGGGTGACACCCAGGGAGCCTGAAAGGTTTCTGGGGACCTTCTGGTTCCTAAGTGAGGCGGCCTTTGGCTCATTCTATTAAGCCTTCCTGTACCTCACAGGTGTATATTGCATGTAACAAATAATACGCAAAGTTGACAAAAACTTGGGCACAAAAGGGCATTTATAAATAATATCTTTCTTTATATAAAAATACTTCCAATGTAACATTAGACAAAAATGTAAAGAACATTAGCTCTTTTCTCCAAAGCCAGCAAAACGGGATTGCTCCAGTGGCTATGACAGCAACAGAGAACAAGGAAAGATCTTCTGTTTGCAACTTGTCATGGAACCAGATTTGTTGGAAGCAACAATTTCTATCCTGGACTGTTGATCAGGAGAAACACAAAGATAACATCCAGGTATGTAAAATCAAAACCACTTCTTTAGGGGCAGGCGTTGTGGTGCGAGGATTAAGCTGCCTCTTGGGACACCCACATCCTACGCTGTAGCGCAGTTCAGGACCCAGCTCCCGCGCTGGTGGTAGAGTAGTGAGCACAGCTGCCTTCCAAGCCCCAGCCATTCTGCTTCCCATCCAGCTACTTGTCACTCCATCCTGGGCGCAGCAGATGACAGCTCAGGCACCGTGGGTCCTGCTCCCCACGGGGGAGATGCAGACGGAGTGCTGGGCCCCTGGCTTCAGCCTGGTCCAGCCCTGGCTACTGTGGTGTTTGGAGAGTAAACAGCAGATGGGAGATCTCTCTATCTCTGTCTCTTTCTCTTCCTTTAAAGTAGATGAAAATAAAACAAAAATAAAAAACAAACCCTTGTCTTTATACCAGCGATACACACAAAGGAAACACCATGAAAGCATTCAAAACACCCACGACAGGGGCCAGCACTGTGGCATAACAGGCCGAGCCGTGCTGCAACACCGGCATCCCAAATGCGTGCCAGTTTCAGTCCTGGCTGCTCCACTTCTGACCCAGTTTCTGGGAAAGCAAGAGAACATGGTTCAAGTCCTTGGGGCCCTGCACCCATGTGAGAGGCCCGGATGAAGTTCCTGGCTCCTGCCCTAGCAGTCGTGGCCATTGTGGGAGTGAACCAGTGGATGGCAGATATCTATGGCTCTCCCTCTCTATCTAACTCTGCCTTTTGAATAAATAAATCAAATCTTTCTTTAAACAAAACAAAACAAAAAAACCAGCCACAACAGCCATTTGTGATTTAATTGAAGATTCATTATTGGGATTTTGACCTGAGAAACGGTAGCCATGACATACACCTCAAGGCACCCACACTGATCCTACTCGAGCCCCTGAGCCCCCTCCTTAGGCGCTGCAGTAATCATGACCGCAGCCCACCCCAGACACTGCCTTTGCAAATGGAGCCAGGCCTCGGACGGCGCTCAGCCACCGCTCGCAGGCAGCTGACTGCCGCCCAGCAGCTGTCTAATGCATCTGAACCACAGACCGGGACCTCCCTTCTCTCCGGGCCCAGCTGCATCTCCATAAACCACACAGACAGGCAGGCGTCCCCAAGGGCACAAACTGTTCTCCCCCCAGGTAATTTTAGAGCAAGGAGGGAAGCTCTGTGCTAATGGAGCTTCTGTGGCTGAGCCAATTCACCGCGCAGACGCCCTCTGCCTGGCCATGCGCCGCTCAACCCGAGGGCCCCGAGAAGGGCTGTGTCCACCTGAAGGGCACGGGGCTCCTCTGCGAAGCTGCACACTAGCCCACAGGCACAGTAAGCTGGCACTCTGATTCAGCGAAGTTTCCAACTTCCTGAAATGCTTTCTTCCACAGACTGCTGATTTCTGAGACTCAAAAGGAGGAACGAGAAAAAAAAACCTCAGAATTCAAGTTAACTACGGGAGCTGCCTCCTGGGAGAAAAACAGGAAATTTTTATGATCCCCAAATTGAGAAAACAAACGAAAAAAGTATCCCAGGGAGGAAGCCCCATAGGGCAACAGCACAAAAACCCCAGGTCAGGCCTCGCCTGCGCCTGGCGCCACTCCGGGAGCACAGCACAAGCTAACAAGGAGCCAGAGGGGCAGGGCACTTGAGACGTCATTCCCAATTTGCCCAGAGCCAGTTTTCAGAGTGCCTAGAGCTTCCTAGGGAAGCGAGAGGGTTGGGCTTAAACCCTGGGGGGTGCAGCCTGAGCACTCCTTACCCCTTTTAAGCCCAGAGGAAGCTTCTGAATGATGCTGAGGGCTCTCCTAAGTGCTCCTAAGACAGCCTCTCCGCAGCTCTGGGCAGGACCCAAAGCCCCAGAGAAACCTAAAGCACAACCCATTAGGCACCGTAATACTGGCATATTCTGGGAATTCTGCTTCCAGACAAAACCGCACAGAGGAGCACAACACCCTCTCTGAGGCCTCTTACACCCTGAGCTCCGCGACTCAGCCGGGGAACAAGGAGGAGAGTGGCACAGCCAAGCGCGGCGAGCGCCTCACCTAAGTGACAGCTAGCTCCAGCCACAGGCGGAGTCCAGCGGGAGAACAGAGCCCGTCCGCGAGGGTCTCGTCGGAAAGGCCACACAGCAGCAAGCACTCGGCCACTCCGTGCAGACGGTTACAACAGCCCCGTGGAATGTGGGCTCCGGGCAGTCAGGTCTCTAAGGACTCCAGCAAGAGCGGGCTCCGAGTCCCTGAAGGCATCCGCCCTGGACAGGAAGCCATCCCTTATGATTATCTCCTGGGTGGCAGTGAAGGCCAACGGGATGAAGCCCTCGCTGTCAGCAGTGAGGAGAATCCAGTGGGAGTCTGTGAAGTCAGATAAGCACACGGGTAATTCAGCAATTCTTTCATACAGAAAGGACTAACCACAAATACAGTTTTCTGAGTGGAGGAAGATAGCAGTTGAGCACTGGCACTGTGGCGCAGCGGGTTAAGCTGCTGCCTGCAGCACCGACATCCCATATGGGCACTGGTTCGGTCCCGGCTGCTCCGCTTCTGATCCAGCTCCCTGTGAATGGCCTGGGAAAGCAGCAGAAGATGGCCCACGTGCTTGGACCCCTGCCGCCCATGTCAGAGACCTGAAAGAAGCTCCTGGCTGAGGCCTGGTCCAGTCCTGGCCATTGTAGCCATTTGGGAAGTCAACCAGAAGACAGAAGATCTCTTTGTCTCTCCCTCTCTGTGACTCTTTCAAATCAATCTCTTTAAGATTTATTTATTTATTTCAAAGGCAGAGATACAAAGAAAGAGAGCAAGAGAGCGAGCTTCCATCTGTTGTTTCAATCGCCAAATGACCTCAACAGTTGGAACCAGGCCAGCCCATATGGGATGCTGGCACTGCAGGCGCAGGCTTAACCTACGCCATGGCTCCGGCCACAAATAAATAAATTTTAGGAAAAAAAAAAGGGAAGACAGCAGTTGATATTGAATCTCATCATCATAAGATGTGTCTGGGCCTTCTTTGGTTCTCTCAAGTCTATCGTATCTCACTTTTTAAGATTTTATTTATTTGAAAGTCAGAAGCTATGCCATAAATGCATATTTCAGAAAGCATTAGAAATGGTATTTTCTGCTCACTATGGTGATTAAGGGTAAAAGAATGTGGCATCAGAAAGCAATCCTACTCCACATCACAGGCCACGACTCAGGAGTGTCCTTCACACCCCTGCTGGCTCCATGTTAGAATGACAACTCCTTTGAGAGAAAGTCCGCAATACTGCTATGATCTTTGTGTTGTAGTGTAATAGGTTCACATGGGGTTACAATTTCCTCGCAGTTGTTACAGATCACTGTAACGCCTTTCTAGTTATTTCATGTGTACGTTTCATTTTCCCAGATAAGCTGCAAGGTGCCCTAAAGGCAGAACCCACATTTCATTTTCCATGTGTTATGGCACTATAATAGACCTAGGTATGCAGCAGGCAAGTAATACTTGTTATCTAGTGAATCTCAATCACTTGATGGTTTGAACACCTCTTCTTCATTATTTATGAAGTTACAAAATAGAGGGCGGAAGGAGGGGGCACTGGGAGTGTTGGGGTGGGTGGAGGGTGCCCTGCGGAGGGAGGGGTGGATGGAGGGGGCATGGGGGAGGGTCAGGGGGATGGAGGGGGCACTGGGAGTGTCGGGGTGGATGGAGGGGGCATGGGGGAGGGTCAGGGGGATGGAGGGGGCGCTGGGGAGGGTGGGGGTGGATAGAGGGGGCGCTGGGGAGGGTGGGGGTGGATGAAGGGGCATGGGGGAGGGTGGGGTGGATGAAGGGGCATGGGGGAGGGTCAGGGGGATGGAGGGGGCGTGGGGGAGGGTCAGGGGGATGGAGGGGGCATGGGGGAGGGTCGGTTTCTGGGTGTAACCTACCATGCAGCATTTCAATGAGAGAGAGGCCAAACATCTGCCGAAGCGCGCTGAGCCGCAGTTTGCCATCGCAGAGTAGCACCGCCCTCTTTTCAACAGGATCTACACTGCAAGGTTTCTTCCAAGAAAACATGGGAATTGTTAAACTGACTGCAAAAGTAGTGGAGATAACAGAAAGTAAACAGTTTTTTTTAACACTGACCTATCACCACTATCAACTAGATTTCAGTTTAAAATAAGGAGCTCTTTGCAGTACTGGTTAACATAAAAGGAGCAGAACACAACACAACCCCTAATGCCTTTTCCTTTGGCTCTCCTCTCTCCCCAGGGTGCAGCCCAACACCAGGAAGGGGCTTTCCTAGGACGGGACTCACGCACAGCAGCCCTAGGAGTGATGTGCCCATGAAGGCGGCCTGAGCGACACATCTGATGGTGCTTGGCTGTCGCAGATACGGCTATGAAACTCGGGGCTTGCTCTGGGGGAGTGTGCCAAGAAAAACTGCTGAAAGCAGACGAGCAGCTGAGGTCTCGCACAAGTAAACCAAAGTGTGGTAGACATTTACTGAACTTAGGAAATGTACAAGTGACAGTAAGTGCTTCCTGGGGAGGGTGAGGTGGATGGAGGGGGTGCTGGGAGAGTCATCATTAGAAATGGTTTCAAATATACCTACAGAAAGACACCATAAAATCTACGGCTTTAGGTCGGCGCCGCGGCTCACTAGGCTAATCCTCTGCCTAGCGGCGCCGGCACACCAGGTTCTAGTCCCGATCGGGGTGCCGGATTCTATCCCTGTTGCCCCTCTTCCAGGCCAGCTCTCTGCTGTGGCCAGGGAGTGCAGTGGAGGATGGCCCAAGTGCTTGGGCCCTGCACCCCACGGGAGACCAGGAGAAGCACCTGGCTCCTGCCATCCGATCTGCGCGGTGCACTGGCTGCAGCGCGCCGGCCGTGGCGGCCATTGGAGGGTGAACCAACGGCAAAGGAAGACCTTTCTCTCTGTTTCTCTCACTGTCCACTCTGCCTGTCAAAGAAAAAATAATAAAATAGAATTATTAAAAAAAAAAAACCTATGGCTTTACGACAAGACCAAAGGTATATTCTTTTTTTTTTTTTTTTAATCTATTCATTAATTTGAAAGGCAGAGTTACAGAGAGGCAGAGAGAGAGAAGTCTGCCATCCACTGGTTCACTTCCCAAACGGCCAAGCTGATCAGAAGCCAGGAGTCAGGAGCTTCTTCCAGGTCTCCCATGTGGGTGCAGGGGCCCAAGGACTTGGGCCATCTTCTACTGCTTTCCCAGGCCACAGCAGAGGGCTGGATCAGGACTGCAGCAGCTGGGACTTGAACCGGCAACCACATGGGATGCATGGGATGACAGCGCCATAGGCAGAGGCTCAGCCCACTACACCACAGCGCTGGCCCCCCAAAGGTGTGTGTGTGTGTGTGTGTGTATATATATATATATATATTTTTTTTTTTTTTTGGACAGGCAGAGTGGACAGTGAGAGAGAGAGACAGAGAGAAAGGTCTTCCTTTTGCCATTGGTTCACCCTCCAATGGCCACCGTGGCCGGCGCATAGCAGAGAGACAGAGACAGAAAGCGGGTCCTTCTCCTGTTCTCCCCATGCGGGTGCAGGGCCCAAGGACCTGGGCCATCCTCCACTGCACTCCCAGGCCATAGCACAGAGCTGGACTGAAAGAGGGGCAACCAGGACAGAATCCAGCACCCCGACTAGGACTAGAACCCAGTGTGCCGGTGCCACAGGTGGAGGATTAGCCTAGTGAGCCGCAGCACCGGCCAAGTATACTCTTATAACAGATAACATGGAACAAAAACTACTGCTTCTGGGGTATTTAACACAGCACTTAGGCAGCCCATACTGAAGTGCCTGGCTTGGCTCCCAATTTTCCAGCTTACTGCTAAATGTACCCTACAAGGCAGGCTCAGGTAACTGGGTCCCCACCACCCCTGGGGAGACACTGATGAAGTTACTGGACCCTGACTTCCACCTGGCCCAATCCTGGCCACTGTGGAGTGAACCAGAGAACCAAAATTTTCTCTCTGCTTTTCAAGTAAAAATAAGCTTTTTAAAAAATATTGCTTCTAATTATATATTATTTGAAACAGTATCTTCACATAAGCATTTAGGTGAGTCTTATAATTTATTTACATGTGTAACTTATTTTGTTGTTAAAATAGGATTTCAAAGATATACAATTTGTAGCAAGATGAAATGCTTTAAGAATGTCTATTAATACTTCTAAAAAGTTTTATTAATTGGGGCGAGTATTGTGGGTAGGTTAGGCCACCACCTGAGATATTTGCATCCCACATTGGATCACGTCTCACCTCCACTCTGCCCAGATTCCTGCTAATGCACAGATAATGACCCAAGTACATGGGCCCCTAACAGCCACATGGGAGACCAGGACAGACTTCCTGACTCCTGGGTTCACCTGGCTCAGCCCCTGCTATTGCAGGCATTTAGGGAGTGAACCAACAGGTGGAAGATCCTTCTCTGTTTCTGCCTCTCCCTGTGTCATTCTTTCAAACAAAGAATATTTGAAGTAATTTCTTTATTTATTTGGAAGGCATAGGAGGAGGGAGAGACACTTTAATCTGCCTGTTTGGTTGGCAGCACCCTGAGGCAGTTACCTGGTAAAGCACGTGAACATATGGGGGCTCCTGGGAGCGAGGGTACACAGCCGAGGGCTTCTTCCCGTTCTGGACAAAGTCTGTGAGCTCAGAAAGACTGCGCTGCATTTCCGTCAGCTTCCTGGACAGTGATTCCAATTCCTTACACAGCTGCTCAGTCCCCTTTTCCCGTTCCAAGTTCTTTTTTGAAGGCACTTCAGGAGTTTCCGGCGTGCTGGTGCCGTCTGGGGCTCTGCTGGGTCGCGGCTCTGTCGCCCAGGCCCAGGCAGGCCTATGGAGCATTTCCAGGGCTACAGAGCCATCCCCAGTACTGGACAGAGGGCTTCTGATTTCTTTAATAAGGGCTTTTCGAGGCCCTCCACTCCGACTGCTGGTATTCCCTGTTAACAAGAGCCCTCCACGCTGGGGACAAACATTTGGGGAAGGACTTTCAATGACCAGTTTCCTATCTGCTTTCTCTAACAGAGCGCTGAAGGTAGAACAGGCGCTCCGGCTTTCAGTCGACGTCGCTGAAGACGGCTCTCCCACCGTGACTTCCCTCACAGTCAAGTGAATGGCGTACTGCGCAGACTCCGAAGAAGGCAAGAAGGCCACATCGGTGCAGCTCGGCTTTCCTACCAAAATCAGTAACAACCTGTCTGTCAAGAAGCACAGGCCTTTTGGTCTTTCGCTGCTCTCCAACTGAATGTGCTGAACGTTCCGCATTGAAGAGGACATGACAGAATAGACCAAAACTGTGTTCCCAGTATTGGAAGCCACTGCCACCACCTGTGCTTTGGGATGGCATGCTATCAGATCAGGAACCAGAATGCCCGGAACGCGGACCCTTCCCGTCAAGGTAACTGTCTTCTCGAAGGCCACGAGGGCCATATGTGAAGAATCCTGGCCGGTTCCTGTCCAGGAGGCCTTTTTTCTGAGACAAATCAGAGAACTCCCCTCAGACCTGGGTCTACTGAAAGAAATATGAGTGAGATCTAGCAGATCTGTGGAGGGGGACACTGGTGATGTTTCAGAATCGGTTTCAGAAGCAAGTGCCCCCTTATCCACAGAGGGTACGTCATCAGCAACTAGAAAAGTATCCAGGCCAGGGTTTGCACCACTAAGTGGGGCCTCAAAGGTTTCAGATGCATTTAAGCTGCAAATCTTATCTAGCGGAAGCTCAGTGGCTACTGCAACCTGTGAATCCACAGTGGCTGTGATGCAGCGGACTGAGCTGTCCACGTCAAATACTGGGGACAAGGAACACCTGTGCAGAGTCTTCCGGGCACTGTCCCAGATAAAAGAATGCAGGCAGCTGCCCACTGCCACCACCAGCCTCTGGCCATCCTGGGTCCAACAAGCACAGTGAATGCGGCCCGGGGTGCTGATGTTCACACTCACCCGGGAACTGTCCCACTGAACGTTAGGGAACACGGAGACATCCCGTGCAGTCAACACCGTCAGGACAGCGCCGTTCGGGTGCCACACACAGCCCTGGGGCAGAACGGGCAGTGACTCTCTAATCTCACACGTCTGAGACATCAGCCCCTTGCTCTTCTCTGTTGTGCTGGGCCCCAGCTGCCACACAGAGACGTGCTTTTTGTGCTGGACAGCCAGCAGACTGGGTGCATCAGCTGCACCACACGGGGCCCAGCACAGCCCACAGACATGCTCAAATCGTCCAATGACTTTGGAGCCCCCGACCTTGACCTCCCCACTGTGAAGGCAGCAGTCAGTCAGGACCACCTGATTCCCATCAGTCCAGGCAAGGCCGTGAGTGGGGTGAATGGCTTGATGGAGCGCATTCAGTCCAGTCCTGAGCAGTTTTCCTTTTCCGAGCTCCACCATTTCTGATAAACACGATCTGAAATAATTAAGAAGGAAAGTAACCCCATGAAAAGACACATTATAGTATATTTTATAAGACAATTGACTTGAGGCTTTTCACAGGTTGATATCGTGGGAGATAAAGGGACAGGAGGAATGTCACAAATTAAAAGATTACAGGGTGGGCAGGTATCCTAAGAGTTAGGAAGCCTACGTCCCAAGTTGGGGTACCTGGGTTCAGTTCCCGGTTCTAACTCCTGATTCCTGCTCAGGAAGGCAGCAGTGATGGCTCAGTGATTAGGTTCCTGCCACCCATGTGAGGACCTGGATTTTCCTGGCTCCTGTGTTTGGCATAGGCCAACCTCAGCAGCCATTTCAGGAGTGAACCAGGGGATGGAAGATCTCTCTCACTCTCTGTTTCTCCCTCTCTCTATTACTCTGCCTTTCAAATAAATAAAATAAATCTCAAAAAAAAAAAAAAAAAGTAGTACATGTCCATTTCAATGAAATGCAAGCACATCAGAGAGAAGTGTATAAAGCAAAACTATTTCCTTCTAGCCCATGCCAACCCTCCTACTCATCCCTCCAAACAAGGTCTTGCTAAGAGCACTGATAACAATTTGGTGTGCAGTCTTTGAAATTTAAAAAAAAAAAAAAAAAAGAAAAAAGAAAAAAAAAAACACAACCACAAACACATCCAGCATTTTAGAGTGCCATGTATTTTTCTTTCATAAATAAAATACGGGTTTTAAGGTTTGTGAGTAGTAGTAACAGAAACACACTGGCTAACTTATCCATACTCAGGCAGAATGGTGGCTGCCGGGGTAGGGAGGAAAGGGAAGAGAGGGAATAGGGTGTTACAACACAAGCAAACACAAAATGATGGAGATGGATGGTGGTGATGGCTCACAACATTATGAATATATTTAATACCAAGGAACGGTGCACTTAACAATGATTAAGAAGGGACAGGCTTTGGGCCTAGCAATTAAGATGCTGGTTAAAGGGACTTGGGCCATCCTCCACTGCACTCCCTGGCCACAGCAGAGAACTGGCCTGGAAGAGGGGCAACCGGGACAGAATCCGGCGCCCCGACCGGTTCTAGAACCCGGTGTGCCGGCGCCGCAAGGCGGAGGATTAGCCTAGTGAGCCGCGGCGCCAGCTTAATGTGTTTTGTGGTGACCTTTCATAGCAATGATGAGTCAAGTAATCAGCAAATGGGGGCTCTCTCTGTGTCCTCAAATAGATTTTTTTTTTTTTTAAGTAGAGCAGGATTTATTAAAGTTGGAAACCTCCTGCCAGAGCAGCAAAGAAGGTGGTTCCTAAGGAAGGAGGATGCACATTTTCAAATAAATATTTTTTTAAATTGGGGAAAAATAGAGAACCAGGCTTAGGAAACAACCAGGAACCAAATGGGCTGGGTAGGATGAACCGCTGCTGCTGCTGCTACTGAGGCACTAGTTTCACTGCCCCTCTACTTGACAGCAATTGCTTAAGCCTGACCTGCTGGTGTCACCTGGGTCTACGTGCTAGAGGGCCAGAGAGATGATTTCCCTTCCACTTCTGTGACAGAGAAGGGGGCCTGCCTCTCACACAATGAGCTTCTCCCCAAACCAGGAATCAGCACGTGAATCCCAAGTTACAAAGCACTTACTAACTGCACTCATGGGTACTTCATGTCAGTAGTAAACAACCACCTTAACCTATGCATCGGTTTCCCCTTTGTCCACTGTCACCTCTCACGTATGCTACTCTCGGGTCACCACCTTCCCCTGGTTTTCTCTGCTGAGCTACAGTGACATTCAAGTGCAGGCTGGACTTTCTACTATGGCTGACATCAGCCCTGCCCACATTCATCTCAAACTTAATGCGCCCAAAACAAAAAAATTCTTAACAGCAACTCCTTTACTTGGATGTGTTCACACATATCTAAAATACATAAGGTCAGGAAGGATAATAAGGCATACTACTTGGATAAGCTGTAATGTTTGAATATTTACTTTAAGATATTAACATGACCAAATATTCTTCAAGTTAAAAGTTAAAAATCGCTTCAGGTACATTTTGAAATTCCATCATTCAGTTGATACATAATGTATAATAATGATTGTAGTTACAGTAATAAAAACTGTAAAAAACTAATCTGACTATAAAAACAAGGTCTTTCACATAATTGACTTTTTAGAAATAATTAGCTGATAATACAAAGAAAATTAACCATGTAACATAAAGAAAACATTACATTCTTTTTGACCCAACAGATGCTTATGAAAATTTAAAGAAATATATAAAACATAGTGGGAAATTCCAATCTTTGTAAAATCTTTTTTCCTTTAAAATTTTTTGTGATAAATTATACATAATATAAACTTGATCATTTTGATCACTGTAAAATCTTTTGACATAGCAGGATTTACAGCACTAAACAAAAAAACCTTTAAGAACTAAAGGCTCAGCCTTTAAGCTCTTCTGATGATGAGACGTTCAAGTCGGTGTCCTACATGGAAAATATTCAGAGCCGTGAAGATGAATTAAAAGCACAGTCAAGCTGTCACCTCCAACTTGCATGAGGTGGAAGAATCTCCAAAATTATATGCAATGCCCAAGATAAATCATCTTCAGTCCAGACATAATCATCAAAAAGAGGGTGAAGGAGGGGAAAAGTGTTCTACAAAAAGTAGGGAGGCATTTGGCCTAGCAGTTAAAACACCTACATCCTGTGCTGGAGTGCCGAGATTGAGTCCTGGCTCTCATCTCCATTCCAGCTTTCTACTAATGCACAGTAAGGGAGGGGGGGATGATGGCTCAGGAGTTGGGTCTCTGTGGCTGGCACGGTGGAACAGCGAGGTAAGCCACCTTCTGCCACACTGGCATTCCATATCAAGCACCAGTTAGTGTCCTGGCTGCTCCGCTTCTGATTCTGCTCCCTGCTAATGCACCTGGGAAAGCAGCAAGTGACGGCCCAAGTGCTTGGCCTGCCACTGATGTGGGAGGCCTGGATAGAGTTCCACGCTTCTAGCTTTGGTCTGGCTTAGCCCTTGCTGTTGCAGCCATTTGGAGAGTAAACCAGTGGATGGAAGATCTCTCTGCTTTTCAAATAAATAAGTCTTCTAAAAAAGAACTGTATCCCTGCTCTCCACATAGGAAACCAGACTGAGACACAGTTTCTGGCTTTGGCCTGGCCCAGCCTCAGCTGCTGGGAGCATTTAGAGACTGAACCAGCAGGTGGGAGATCTCCGTCTCTGAGTCGGTCTCTCTCTAAGATTTATTTTATTTATTTGAAAGGCAGAGTTAGAGAGAGAGAGAGAGAGAGAGAGAGAGAGAGAGAGAGAGAAGTTTTCCATCTGCTGATTCACTCCCCAAATGACTGCAATGACTGGGGCTGGGCTGGGCTAGGAGCTAGGGGCTTCCTTTGGGTCTCCCAAGTGGAAGCAGGGGCCCAAGCACTTGGGCCATCATCCACTGCTTTCCCAGGCGATTTAGCAGAGAGCTGGATCAGAAGTGGGGCAGCTGGGACTTGAACCACTGGCTGTATGGGATGCTGGCACTGCAGGCAGAGGCTTAACCTCCCACAGCATAATGTTAGCCCCGTTTCTGCCTTTCAAATAAAGAAAAAATAACCTACTTTAAAAAAAATTTAAGAGGCCAAGTTGTGGAGTAGCAGGGTAAGCCAATGCTTAACCCATATCAGAGCCACTGGCATCCCATATCAAAGTGCTGGTTCAAGTCCTGGCTGCTCTGTTTCCAGCTAACGTGTCTGGGAAGGCAGCAGATGATGGCATCCATGCCACCCTTGTGGAAAACTAGGGTGTAGTTCCTGGCTCTTGGCTTTGGCCTGGCCCAGCCCGGACTGTTAACAGCCATTTGGGAAATGAACTGGTGAATGGAAGATCTCTTTCTCTATTCTCTCTTTTCCTCCTCCTATCACTCATGCTCTACATTCCAAAAATAATTTTTTTAAAAGAAGTGCTTTTTAGAGAGCAGTATAGTCACAAAACATAAATACGTGCTTATTTATGTCCACACATGAGGGGCTTCCAAAAGTTTATAAGAAATAGAATTAAAAGATAATGTAGTGGCTGGTGCTGTGGTGTAGTGGGTTAAGCCGCCACCTGCAGTGCTGGCATCCCATTTGGGCACCCGTTCAAGACCCGGCTGCTCCACTTCTAGTCCAGCTCTCTGCTATAGCCTGGGAAAGCAGTAGAGGATGGTCCAAGTGTTTGGGCCCTTGCACCCGCATGGGAGACCCAGAAGAAGCTCCTGGCTCCTGGCTTTGGATTGGCACAGCTCCAGCCACTGCATCCAATTGGGGAATGAACCAGCAGATAGAAGACCTTTCTCTGTGTAACTCTGACTTTCAAATAAATAAATAAGTCTTAAAAAAAGAGAGAGAGAGAGAGAGATAATGTAGGGGCTCGTGCTGTGGCTTACAGGTTAGGTTACTGTCTGCAATGCTGGCATCCCAAATGAGCACCAGATCCAGTACAGCTACTCCACTTCCCATCCAGCTGCCTGCTAATGGCCTGAGAAGGGCCCCAGTGCTTGGACTCCTGTATCATGTGGGAGACCCGGATGAAGCTCCTGGTTTTGGCTTTGCCCAGCCCTGGCCGTTGTGGACATTTGGGGAGTGAAGCAGCAAACGGGAGACCTCTCTCAGCCTCTGCCTCTCCTCCTCTGTAACTCTGACTTTCAAATAAATAAATAAATCTTTAAAAAAAATAGTCCTTTTTTGGGGGGTGAACCAACAGAAGGAAGACCTTTTTTTCTCTCTCTCACTGTATAACTCTGCCTGTAAAAAAAAAAATAGTCCTTCTGTAACTAAAGAACAAACAAGATTTAAATATAAAAATTTTAACCGTCAAACAAGATCAACAAGCAATGTACAAAACAATCACTAAACACACCGAAAGTGATATTAATCTCACTAAAGAATTGTCTAATCTTGCCGTGCCCAGTACTTCACTACTCATTGTCTCTTTTATATAAAGATTTATTTATATGAGAGGCAGAGTTACACAGAGAGAAGTCTTCCATCCC